TCGCGTACAGGCGCTGGTGGGCGTTTTCGAGTCCGCGCGCTTATGAAACCAGGTACGTACCCCGACTGTCCTTAGCTGGTACCACCAAGTACCGCGTGCCAGCTGGTCATACGGGGTGGACCCGGGGTCGCATATCTCAAACGGATAAGTTTGTGTGGTGCTGCGATTGGCGAATATGCTCCCCGGGCGGTTCCAGATTTGTTGGTCGAACGCAATGCTATGCTGAGCCAATTTGTACTCTCCGTTCAAATATACCCGTCCGATATTGCCCCTTCTTACAACTGACGGCTACGATTTGATCAATGCGTACAACTTGCTGTGCGGAAAGGAAGGTCGTATGCTGAGGAGGACGAGAAGCTTCCCCCGCTGTTTTTCTGCGTCGAGCATCTTTTGGCTGTGCAAAAGGCGGAGGAAGAAGGAGGAGCTTCAGCTTACGATACGTGGACGGGCGCATATTGATGCAAAATCCCCGATTTCATGGCGGCGTCCCTGGACGACGTCGGGGGCATCGACCCCCTGGCTCTGGAGCTCAATAGCCCAGCAGGTATTTGCTCATTCCATGCTTGCAGAGAGCACTTTTCTGCCCTGCCCTGACAGTGTCATCTTATTTTCCGCTTGCGAGTTGTAAGAGTTCATGTCTACCATAATGGGTGACAAAAGAGGGAGCCCTTGCATGTGTTTGACAAGTCACCTTGCGCTACGTTGGCGAGTCTGGGTGAGTAGGGGAGCTCTTGCCTGTTTTTAGAAAAGTACAAGGCAGCCCGACCTTTGGTCCCGTGCTTGTCTGTACAAGTCCGCAGCTCAATGAGGCTGCAATGGTCCACTTCTGATGTAGTCCTTCCCATGACCACTTACAAACACCTTCACGAGTGTTCGTTTCCCTTTTTGATGCTCTCCTTCAGAAGTAGAAGTTGCTTGAGCTTTGGGGTTGTGCGTTTGCAAGCGGGGTCTCCATGCAGAGCAAAGCGTGTGGTTGAGATACTGGCTTGTGATAACTTATTCCCGTGCTTTTCTCATTTGAACAGAGGTGGGGCAGAAGAGGGGAGCTGCCTCTGCTGGCAAGTCGTCCCACAAGAGGCCAAAACCAAATGATGACACGCTCTGGGCAGCCTGGTTCTTCTTCGACACCTACTACAAGACTGTCTACAAAGACGATGACCCAGGAGCAATCGATACGACGGTGTTTGAGGTGCAGGTATGGTACCAACTTGGTCATCATGGCCTGCTCAATTGGTTAGCTATTGGCCGGTACATCTACTGTGATTTATCTACAACCGCCTGCCTCCCATTTTGCATTGGGGAAGGGCATTGGAGGGCAGGCATGGAGCGGGCTGCGGGATAAGCTAGTTAGTGAAGGCTTAGAAGCAAAGCCACGTTTCATGCTTATAGTTGCTCAAGTTAGTGCTCATGTTTGTAAGGTCTTCTGTCAGTTGTTCTTCGCTCCAAATTTTCCAAATGTTCCATAGCATCCAATGTAGGTGCTCTCTGAAAGAATCCCTGAATGCTTCCTTGCTTCTGTTTCTGTGTTCTGCAACGGACAGTTTCATTTCGGACTGAAGTCTTCAGGAAGACCCAACCTGACTCGAGACTGAGCCAGTCTTGCTTTCAATCATGCACTTTGATCAAGACGGACATCCCAGACACAATCTGTCCTGTTCATACTCCGTTGGTTCTCCCCTTTTATCTCCGCAGTGAGCCTTGGAGAACTGCTACATGTTTGCATTTTGCACTGGGCAGGACCTCTCCAGACAGAAGCACTTGGTGTTTTATCCTGCAGTTTATGCCCGGTGAATGTAATCCTGCAGTTTACACATTAGCATTCAGGCCCTGGTTGACCTTCAAATCTCCCTCATTCTTCCCTTTTGTCTCTTCAGTTTGCCGTGGAGAACTGCTACATGTACGTTCCCCAGTATCGTATCGCTCCAATACCTGTCCCTGCAGTCCAGTATTGAAAGTATCGAAATGCTAGTACCATTTTTTAGATTTTCCAACTTTGTTTCTGCAGTTTGCGATGGAAAACTGCTACATGTACGCGTTCCGCGACCGGCAGGAGCTCTCCCTGCACTTTAAAACTGGCATCACAGACGCTAGTACAGTTCTCAGAACAGTCTCCGGCTTTGTCTCTGCAGTTTGCGATGGAGAATTGCTACATGTATGCGTTCCGCGACCGGCAGGACCTCTCCCTCGGGCCTGGTCAGCTGAACAGCTGGATCAGCGGCAAGCAGATTGGCGAGAGCCCGTACATGTTTCCATTTGCTGTGAAGGACGGGTACATCCGGTGCCATCGGCTGCAGAACAAGAAGTACAGGAACCTGAAGAACCCGCAGTGCATCACTGGCATCAGGAAGGTCGTGGACCCTCCTGTGGTGAGTTGCTTGGACGCCTGCCTGGAAGAACTGTCATTCGGTTTTCAGTTTGTATCTCTGTTTGGCTTGGCAAATCCTGTTGCAAGATGGACTAGTGTTGCTGTTGGGATTCCCCTGAGTCTATGAAAAGGCTTGCACTCATTCGCCGCACAGAAAGCAGAAGGCAGCTGCAAGAGGGATGTGTGCTCTTGCTGAGAGTTCTTTCAATCCGCAAGGAAGCCTGCTTTTGTTAGTGCTCGGTGGAGCCAATCTTTTGTGGAGAGGAGTTATATGCTGCAGCTGTTCATTGGAAACTGCAGGAAACTAAAAGGTAAAGCAGCGCTGGTCTATGCTTTGAGCTGGAAATTTCCAGCACGCTCAGACATGCGTCAGAAGACGAGAAGAGACTCTTCAATCGCTGGCTGGGCAAACTCTCGGTAAATTCTTGTTTGTGGATCCCTTCCAGGTCGCTGAAGAAGATGCCAGGAGATGGTACCACCTGACTGGACGGGAGACCAGCGAGATCCCTGGGGAAGAGGCGGAGGGCTACGTCGAGTGGAGACCAGTTCCGAACCCCTCAGGTATGGTTTCCAAGACCATCTCATGGGTTATGGCTAATATTCCTCTTCTTTTGACAGGTCATGTTCCCCTGCGCTGTATACAGGGCAGGGGGGCATCAAGTTGAGGCGCAGCAGGTGGACAGTACTTGCGGTTGACCTCGTAATTTCCCCTTCCCTAGGTCTTCATTGCTGGTTCTCAATCTGTACTTTGGCTCGATAGATTAAAGGAGCGCGAGAGAACGTCCCATTGAAAAGGCGCATGTGCTGGACAAAAGTTCATTTGACCTAGTAGCTGTCCACCTCTCAAGCTCTTCAGGTCTTGGTTCTTTTCTTGACCAGACCTCCCAACGCGGCGGAACGTCCAACAGAAAGGTGCGGCGTCTAAACATTGAGTATGTCTGATTAAGGACCTGTCTCTCTTCTCTAGTTCTTCACTGATGTGGACATCTCTTCCTGACAGATCACACCAGCGCAGGGGGACGTCCGATCGGGAAGGTTCAGCAGCTGGACAGCAGTCGCTTTCGGATTTTCCCTCTCTCTAGTGCTTCATTTTCGGTTCTGAATATGCATTTCTTCTCGCCAGATCACACCAGCGCGGGGGGACGTCCGATCGGGAAGGTTCAGCAGCTGGACAGCAACTCGGACCGCGGCCGGTGGCTGAGCCAGATTGGGGGAGTCCTGAGCAAGCACTTTGGCCCCGTAACGGCGGCGAAGACCATCTACGAGGACAGTATGGGATACCTTGTAAAGGTGCGGGTTTAGCTCTGCGCACTTTTTCTGACACACTGGGGAGGAGCTGAACCCCGCTTTGGCTATGGTTACTCTTTGGTGCGTGGTATTGGCATTGACTGAAGCCTTTGTGTTTTGCGAGTTGCAAGAACGTGAGTGGGCCACTTCAGTGCAGCCGCTTGGCAGTGCGAAGTGATGGTTGGCTGCATGAGGTGTGACCAGACATCTGGTATCATTGTACAGATTGAGAACACCAGTCCTCCAACAGCTGGTCGAAGGTCTGGCCGATAGGAATGGAAGAGGTTGTTGGAGTCCCCTTACCTTAGAACGAGTCCCCTTACCTTCGAATGAAAGGCCTTCGCCGTACTTGCTTCCCTTAGGCCTAGCTTTTATAGCTTTTATAGCTTCACCACACTCTTGATCCTCTTAGGACTCAGCCGGATCTTTCCCTTCTACAAGGACAGAAAGGGCGGTCCTTAGTACCTGAGACAAACCCGTTGCGTGACCGGTCTGCTTGCTCTTTGCTGGGCGTTGATTTGGACGGACAGGATGACGTGGTGCTTATTGGCGTCTCTTCGCCCTGCCAGGTGTCGCTCCCGTACGTGGACAAGCGGACGGTCAAGATCACGTGGCGCAACACGACCAACGAGTGTATCATCAAGGTGACGGCCACGAGCATTGGCGGCAGCGGGACGTATAACAAGGACGGCCGAATTTACAAGTGCACAGACCCACAAGCCGAGATTCCCAGGTAGGTCGAGATTGTTTTGTCTGCTTGACTCTGTTCCTTACCGTAGTCCAACGTGATGATTCCAAACGATCTTATTTTGAAAATATTTCCAACATTCCGACCAGAAAAGCGGATTTGCTTATGCTGATTCCGACAAGAATCCGAATGCCCTATGTTCCCACTTAGAAGGGGATTTTTGAGGCGTTTTGGGGCTTCCGAGGACCATTCCAGGACTATTTAAGCGTTCCGAATTTCCGAGTTTCCGAATGCAAATAATTATTTATCTATCCGGAATCGTTACCTTGGATTACAGTAGTTGGAAAGGAGTGAAGGGTTTTGTTCTTGCGGACGGGGTTCGTTTTTGCTTCTTTCTGAACGTGGTCGTTTCCAAATCCGGAATGCCTGACTCGTTTACAAGGCGAATCTGCTCATGAAAAGCGTGAAGAACCGGGGCGACAGTCTGGTAGTCGCAACAGGCATGGTGATGCTGAACTGCGCCCCTGTGATCCGATTGGTAACAAGCTGCGGCTGAAGGAAGAAAAGGGGATTAGGTCAGAGGAAAGGTAGAGTGGATACTTTGGGTTCAGGATTTCAGACTTGCTTGTTAACACGCATGAACAGGTCTTGCGAGGTGCGTCATTCTTCAGGCTGGTCACATACTGCTTACTCATGTAATGTACTTTTGTCCAGGAATGGCACCCTGACTCGAGAGATCCATCTTCCGATGCTGCTCCCACCAAAGTCTGCACTGCAAGCAAGCTTTGATCCTGTAACTGCGGGGATGGAGATCCTTGTGCCTAAGCTGACCGCATCTGCAGGCGACTTTGAGATCCCGGTTACAATTCTTTAGGGGGTAATAGAATTAGGAGCTTTAGGGTAGCCAAGCGGGCACCTGCTCATGTAATCATGTTAGTTTTGAAAACTCGCTCTACCAGTTCACCGGTTCAGGGACCACCAATTGTATCCCTTCGTCTCAGTATGTGTTGTTCAATGAAGAAGTTTTTGTCTCTTTCGTTCTCTCTTCTTGGCCCTTATTCGAGTCAAGGCCCGGCTGGCAAGGCCCCAGTCTCCAGTTGGAATGTCTTAAAGGCGACGACTATACCTTTTTTGGATCCCATTGTGCAATGAATGTAGCTGCACAAAGTTTGGCACATGGTTCTTGGACATTCTGCAATCTACATGGGTCGTGCAAATGGGGCACCGTTTTGATTGCACTGATCATGCTTTGTTAATTATGCATCGGGCATGAACTTTCCGAAATATTGCAAACTCAAATCATTTGAATTCGGAAGTAGATTTTTGAGTCACGACTCACGTACTATAAGCGAAACGTGATTGGACGTCTATGTTCACAATGATCGATACGCGGCCCGCCATTGGATCGATTACACAATATAACGCGTCCATCTCGCTAATCATTTTGGAAATTAAAATCTTGTGCACATAAATCGAGTCCCCGAGTGGCGATCTTAAGCAGCCGCGCCGCAAGAATTTCAATATGCATGAGGGGGATTTGCAATATGGAAATTGGCACCTTCCCCAACATGTTGGATCGGACCTGCGGCAGCCCCTTATATAGTAGACATCACATTGCAAGCTCCGAGGATTGCCACTTGTATTTCAACCCAGGGCCATAGCGCAATCATGCACTTGCGGCAAACAATTGTTATTTCTTTTCAGCTGACTTCGTAAGATCTTCATTGTCAGGTCACACCACTTGACGGCAGGCGGTAGAAGGACCACAAAGACATGCCCGCTGGCACTTTGTCCTGAGTTGCATCCTGACACCCTACCCTGGCATTTGACTCTCCTCACTTCTCCCAACCCTCAGATGTATTCATCTTCACGACACCACTACTAAACTACCTTTAAATTTTCCTGCGACACCACGCTCCTTCTCATTCAAACTGTGCATCAACTAACTGTTTCTGCTTCTTACGTGCACGTTATGTAGTTCCTAAACGACTACTGTGACATACTTTGACTGGACACAATGTCACACAATCAAGACAAAGCATCTCAGCAAGGCATAACCTGCTGCATCATGGTGTGGAACTCCTGGAAGTTGACTTGACCGTCCCCGTCCTGGTCGACGCCCTGAATCATCCGGGAGCACTCCGCCTCTACAACCGGCTCACCGAGCAACCGGCTCAGGACCTGCATAAGATAGTTGTCATCGATCAGAAAGTACGCTGCTGAAAGAAAGTACCCTGATGAAAGCAGACACCTTGAGAAGGCCACCTGATGGGCGAACAAAGGAGCCAGATGCATTGAACTTCTACAGAACCAGGGATCTGAAGAGGCCACTGCCAAATTTTCATCTAAAGGTGAATCACAACTAAAGTGATCACCTCACTGGAAGTGGCACCAACTAAAAACATATGATTAAGTTACACTTAACCGCCAGATCTGCAGTGGCTGTAAACTTGCAACCTGGCATCAGATGCAAGCAAAGACAAGCACAAAACAGCCCACCCCATGACAGAACGCAAAGTATCAGAGGAATATCAAAGAGAATGAAGACCCACCTGCTGCAGTTCCTCGCACGAGATGAACCCATTCTTGTCGAGATCGAACACATCAAACGTCGCCCGCAGCTCCGTATCCTCATCCCCCGCAAGTCCAGCCTCCAGCGCCATCTTGTTCAGGTTCAGAAACTCGCCGAGGCAGATCGACCCATCTCCATTCTGGTCCACGGCCGTGATCATTGCGGTAAGCTCAGCATCCGTTGGGTTGTCCCCAAGCGACCGCATCACCGCGCCTAGTTCCTCCTTGTCGATGCATCCGTCACTGTTGTGGTCGAAGTACTTGAACGCGGCGATCAGATCGTTGACCACGTCCTCAGGCAAACCCTCCGCTTCAGAAGGGAGCGCGACCTTGGGTTTCACGACGCTCATAACCGGCGCAGCGGCAACCGCTTTTGAAACCGTCCCCACTTCCTCAATCGCCGACCCAACCGGGGGCGGAGACGAGAGCTTCCGCACCTCCCTGACCTCAACCTTCGGCGCCCGCTCCATGTTTTCTGCTGCTCTAGTTTCCTTGGGAGAGTCGAGGGAGCTCTTTGAGAGCCTTAGCTTGCGCTCGGCGTTTGGGAAGGTCAGGTGCGTGTCGCTCTTGGTTCTCTGGGGGAGTTCTTCGGGGCGGGGTCTGCGGCTGAAGGGCCTGAGGAGGGCCTTGGCGAGGCGGTGAGAGGGGCTGGGTCTCTCCGAGGTGGTGACCTCTGAAGAGCTGGTGGTATCGATGCTCTGTTTTGACCGTCTCCACATGCTGCGCTGCAAAACATGACAGAGAAGAGTTAGAGCTTCAAACAGTGGGTCCAGATTGTAACACAGTTTGTTCAGGACAGGTCTCAAGCAATCAGGAGCTTTGCTAGGGCGTAATGCTCAAAGCATCACCACTGGTTTGGCAGTTCGGCGGAAGATTCAAAGAGGGCACATGAAGTGGGTGCCCTTTTCAATCACGATGTGGAATGGCTTCCAAAAGCCTGAAAAATGACAACCGCACCGATGCAGCTTGATTCTGTTCATTCGCAGTACAAAAGACATTTCTGAATTCTGAACCATTTCTGAACTCGCTGGCCTGCTGCCTGCTTAACCGGAGGCGACTGTCAGTGTGGACTCTGGTTGGCTGAACCTGAAAGCAAGCTCAAACCCACATCTGCTTCTGAGAAAGCGTGTCAGGGTAAAGCAAGCCCACTCGCAATCCAATCTCTGGTCCAACCCCGTGCACTTTAGAGGAAGAGAAATGAATCAAGCAAAAACAATGACCTTGTAGCGAACCAATGCCTTTGTTCAATTCACGCTGGCTGAGGATGAGGGCAACAAGGCTCACCTTTGAACACTCTGGTGTTGACGATCACCGGGTCGTGACACACGGAAGCATTCGTACTCCTTCGGATGGATGAAGAGGGCAACGTCTACTTAGAGATTGCTGGATTGACTGAAACGTGCACGATTCCTGGGAACTCCTGGATTGTTGATGAGAAGGAGCTGAAGAGGTTTATGTATGCTGTAGAATGCTTCTCAGATCATTGCCTCAGAAAGCCCTGCACACTGCAGCCGCGATACGCAACCAGCTCAGTCGCTGTTACCTGCTTGCGCCCCAAGAGGAAACTGCCAAGGTGCCCCTGAAGTTGCCCTCCAAACAGGCCATTTCGACACTGCAAGAGAGCAATGCGCCCTAGCCGCCACAGACTCCTCGTGATCAAGATTCAAGCAGTACGGCTTCAGACATGTCTTCACTTTTGTTTGACACTCGACAAGATGACTTCGGTTGAGAGACACATCAAAATATTGTTTTAGTGTCAACTAAGGCTCCTTCCGAGCAGCTTCTGCATGTAGATTTTTCGAACAGAATGTCGCCATGACTCTGACAACTCTTGCTTTCACTAACGACAGCTTTCACCAAGATAGGCACCCGGGGAACGGGTGGGGTTAGGGTGGGGGTTAGGGTGGGTGCGGGTACGGAGCGGGTAAAACGTAGAGGTTAGGGTTTTTAGTTGAGGTGCTCGGAGTTCCTCTATCTTAGTGAAAGCTGCGGTTAGTGAAAGCAAGAGTTGCCAGTATGTCGCCATGTCTCGCCACGTCCGAGCGGCCGCATCCGAGCAATCGGACGGGTCACGATTCCTGAAAGGATCGGATGCTTCTTGCTGAAGCCGGGCCTAATCGAACGGTCTAGAACCCCGCAGAACGAAGCTAGCTGGAGGCGGTGTGACTAAAGTGTGGCTGGAGGACACTAGACGTGCGAGAATTCCGAAGTTCGTATTGAACCTCAGAATAGATCAAGGTTCTTACATGACTTCTAGCGTGCACGCTCTAGTCTTCTAGACGACCTATTCTATTCGATCTTCCGCTCTGTCTTCGGTACTTATCACAATAGGTATCTGTTCACAAGGTCGAAGCCTCCTGAGTCAGGGATGCCATGTCGCCATGATTAGTCAAGCCTCCTGTCCTCCTGAATCGCGAGGAGGCCGTAATGTGGCCATAGCTATCTGAGCCTCATCGATCAATTGCATGAGTGATTAGGAACTCCAAATGCATCTATGCATTGACTCTGCATTGATGAATCAAATTGGCCCTCGTCATGATCACCGGTGGGGGACCGGTGGCAAACATATGGCTGGCCGCCGTAGTTGATGTTGCAGCATATGTCTATATGCTTCCCGGCGTGTATGTTCAAGCAGTGTCTCGAGAAAAGCTTTGCCAGCCATGCTGTTTGAACGGCGTCATGTTTGTGATCACAGCTTGGACGCATTGCGTAACGTGCGCGCTGTTTTCGAGTACAATTTCGATCAGTTCGATCAAGCTTCCAAGTTTAATTACGGCCATACGGGAGCCGCCCCCGCGCAGCCGCGCGCTCTTTGCAACGAAACCACTATTGATTTGAAAATTCAGCAGTGACAGCCCCTGAGAAAGGTTGTCGGCCGGCTGAATCCGCTATGACGCGATTAAAACGTGCTGCAGCGATCTGAGGCCGCCGCGCCGGCGCATCTGATATGCATTCCATAATAAGCCCATGGAGGAAGAAATCCTCCTCCATCACTGCTCCCTCTCACTACGAGTGTCGACTGAGCAGACTCATGCGATCATGCATATCAATCCGTGCTCAACGGCGGCAAGTCAGAACATTTGAGTGCGATTCGAATCACACTATACCTGCCTAGTGGAAGAACAAAACACTTCGAAATTGGAATCTTCGAGTGAAACTTGATTTGGCACCTGATCCACTGTCCTTGCAGCTGCTGCAATCTATTACGAAAGACGAGTACTTCACAGGGAACCTGCCTCCGATTGCCTCACTGAGCAATAACCTTAGGCCGGTTTCTAAGCCGTGCCTGGTTTCGTTAACCTTGTTGCGTGCATCATTTATTATGCCTCACAGCGCGTGAGCTGTCCGCTTAGCATCCCGATTGGAACTCTAGCCGCTAGGCTACGGGTCCAATAAATCTCTGCCTTGAAATATAGGGGGAAAATACCCTAAAGGTAAAACCTGAGCGAGCGTTCTACCTTGACGTGCGGGGGATCGAGTTCCTGGCCCCCTCGTCGGCAAGTACTTACGTTACCTGCCTTGTGCCGATTCATATGGAACTTGTCCTGGCTCTACGTGCTTTCATTGCACCTGCTTAGTTGGGCCCGCCAGCAATGCTTATTTGCTCCGATTACGACCAGTCTCTGCGCTTGTCGCTTGACCTCTTTCCAATCAAAATCCCTCCCCCGTGTGTCGAGTCAAGCCTCCGAAAATTTACTCCTCGACCAATTTCGAGGGCACCTACTCGGACCATTTTCAACTAACGACCAGTCACGAGAAATGCTCTTTCCTTTCCGATTCAAATCTTCTCGAATTGAAGCTACTCCATCATCTTTTCCGTGCATCGATTCGCCGCCGAAAATTTACTCGTTTCCCACCCCCGTGCATCTGATCGTCATTGAAGAACATTTCAATTATTTTCTGCAAATCAACTTGTTGCTGAAAGAGTCCTCGCCTCCGCCCCCCATCACGGAGAGTGAGCATTCACTCCTCCCCCTTCATCCGACTCGTCGCCGGAAACCCACTCTTCCCTTCTCTCGTGGATCGCCCCAGTTCCAAAAACCCACTCGTTCGTCGTTACAGAAGTATCGACTCGTCGCTGAAAACCTAGCTCCTTTCCCCCGTTACCAAACAGTATTCGCGTCTCCCCCCGTCCATCTACCCATCGCCAAATACTTTTCCGCTCCGCCCTCCATGTGTTGATTCGTTGCTAAACGAAACCTTCTCGCGTTTTCCCTGACACCAAACCCTCTCGCTTCTTCCTTCCTTTTTCCGCTTTTGCCAAAACCTACTGACCCCTTCCACCCTCAGCGAAAGGCTCCTCGCTCCTCCCCCCGTGCATCGACTCGTTGCCAAAACCTGCTCTTTCCTTCTCTCGTGGATCGACCCAGTTCCCAAAACCCACTCGTTCCTCCGTCCAAGTATCGACTTGTCGCTTTATTCTACTCCGTCAACCGAAAGCCTACTCGTTCCGTTCCCCCTGTATCGACTCGTCGCCGAAGAACTTGGCCAGCTTCGTCCGACTGCTCTCCGGCAAACCATTTGCCGCTTCCCCGAGCCCCGCCCACTGCGCCTCCGCTTTCGCATCGGGGGGGTCCTCCGCGTCTCCCATCAGCTCTGCCCAGGGGTCCTCCGCAACCCCCTGGAACGTGTAGAACCGGAATCCGTTCTCTGCGACCGTCTCCTTCAGCTTCGGCCGCCGTTCCGCCGGAACTCCGTCCCGCAGGAACTCGCACGCGTCGGTCAGCACCCCCGGAACGGAAAAGACGTACCCGTGCCCGAGAAGGCTCTTGTCCAGCCTGGTAGCGTCTACCAGGTCGACGTTCTGCAATGTATCGTCAGAAGGGCGCAAAGAATGAGCGAAAGGGACTAATAGACCTTGTTTGCACTTTTGATCTGCTATTGAGCATGACACTGCTTCCGACGTCAAGCAGTGTCAGGACACGACGCGCCAAGCAAATCTCATCCCAAAAATAACTGAAAAAGGGAAATAGAATCTCGGCACGAGGTGACAAATGACCTCAGCAGCCAACTTATCGGAGATGAATTTGAGAGAACGTAGAACAGCACTTCTGTTGATCTATTGAAGCTGCTCAATGTAGCCTGGCGTTCCGGCCCACACGGCCTTCTGCGATCTAGCGATCTGACTGCAACGAGTGCACAGGGCAAGGTGTACTCAAAGAGGGCGTCGGGGAGACCGGTCCCCCCTCGGCGACCAGCAAAGTGCCCAGAGAGCCAAATTGGTCGCTCGGGACGATTCCTGAGATGTAATCTAGTCCGTCGGATGGAAAAATATTTCAGGAGTCAGATGGGCGAGCGTTCCTTGAATTCTGACGCCCTCCTCAAAGCAAAGTCAGCCCAGCAAATCCGTTTACCTCTGCGAACGGTTCGTACCTCTGCGAACGGTACGTGCCAGGGGCGTACCCCGGGGGAGATTGGAAACGTCCCGAGGCGGGGGTGGCTGCCGTGGATGCGGGACGACACGTGGAGAGCCTGGTCGGCGGAGGACGCGTAGATCGTCACGTGCTCCACCTGACACGTGGCCGAAAGAAAAGTCCGTCAGTGATGCCCTTTCGGTGATACTAGTACCCTTGCCTTCTGCTTTCTCATTTCATTTCGGGCTTCTGCACTTATCCTTCTTCGCCGTCTGGAGGTTGCCCTTTCAGACGTCATCTACTTCGCACTCAAAAAAGGTCCCGGAAACAGGGCAGCTTGCCACGTGGCAGATTGTATGGTCACGGCCCCTGCCACGCCCGAGGACAGCGAAGGATGGAGTAGTCTGCAAACATGAAGAGGGTGCTCCACGAAGCCAAACAAATCTGAGAGCAATCCTTGCGAGACCCACGAAAGTTCAGAAAAAATCCTCAGATTCAACAGACGCGAAAAGTCGCCGCGCAAGAGAGAGCGGAGATTTCTTTTCCGGCCGCAACTAAAATTATGAAGCCATTGGGTGGCGCCTAGATTAGACTTGAGTCGCTGGCCCTATTCGACATTGGAGTTTCGAGCACGTCGTAATCCCTTCGCGACCGCGTCTTCTGTTCCATCAAGGTCTCGAATATAGTAAAGACCAACTCAAAACCGAACGGGAGAGAAAGAGGTGAGCAGAAGAGAACGAAAAAGAAGAGGACGGAAGCTGATTCAAACAAGATCGGAACTGGTGCCTTTGTCCGCAATTCGTTGCTGTCCAAAAATGAACGAAGCACTTGCAAATCCACCAAGAAAGCACCGACAACGTTGTGCGAAGTTGATGACAGACAAGCTTTCAAGACGCCTCGTGAGGCCATTTGCTTTTGACCAGGCGAGAGGCAACCAAAACGTGGGCTCAATCGTGTCCGTGTGCCAGATCTCAACCACCGCAAACGAAGACAGAAGTTGCTAACTAGAAACTTCTGCCATGCCGTTTCTTGCAGCTACCCCTACAGTTTGTACATGTTTTCTTAGCCAACGTGGAACAGGAACTGGATTCGAAAGAAACGACAGTCTACTTCGCTGCTTCCGCATTTGAAACTGTCACGTCCCTGACTCAACAGGCAAATTTGGGGAGGTACAACTTCGAATCGCCCAGTTTCGCCGGAAGCAGAAGTTGGAAGTTGGGCAGAGCTGAGCTGAGGGCAGGGTTTCCGAAAGGCCCACCGTTTTGCTCAGCTGACTTTGCAGCTGGTAGAACTCCCCGAGGTCAAAGTCCGGGGCGGCCAGCACCAGGCGGCCCAGCTTGGCGGAGCCCTCAGAGAGTTCCCCCAGCGCGAGCCTCATAAGCGCGTACAGCACAACCCGGGAGCCCATACTGCACGCAGGAAGAATATTTGAAAGGATTTTCGCTTTTGCGGCGCTTCTAAATTGTCGCAAAGCACGAATTTATCCAGATTTACGGATGCAGGTTTGCAGAGGCGGGTGCCATTACGGGAACGCACCTCCTTTTTGAGGGCTTACAAGCCGTCTGGGTGTCCGAGCTCTAGACGAAATAACCCTCTAGATCCCGGTATGCAATGGGAGTGGTCGAACGGTCATCTGGAAGCTTCCAAGCCGAGTGGTCGAAGCGAGCCATATTCACTCTCTTCGAGACCCTTAAAAGGCAGAGCGGGATTTCGCTCCGGTGGTGAGTAAAGCCTTTGCGGAGTGGCCGGGTTAAGTCTATTGAAAGACGGGCCGGAGTTAAAAGAAACCAGGGCTCCCATGGCATCGGCTTCACCAACACACAGTCTGCAAGATTTGCTCTGTAGCCCAACAGGCTGACTGCCAAGCCGGAACTCCCAAAAAACGTGTTCCCTTTCTTCTTATGAAACCCCAGCTCTGCGCATTGAGCTGCACCCTGTCCACTTTGTCGGGATCTCTTCCAATTTTAACCAAGCAAGTTGCAGTAAACCCGGCTAGAACAGGACCTTACCTGTGGACGATCAGATGCACCTTGTCCAGTTTGTCGAACCTCTTGCAGTCACAAACCAATATAAAGAATTACAGTAGTCCGAAATAGCAGGGCCTTACCTGTGGGCGATGATATGCACCTTGTCCAGCTGGAACTCCGTCAGCATCTTTGTCAGGAAGTCGACGAAGTGCGCCACAGCCCACATCGCGTTGCTCTCGTCGGCGCTGTAGCTGTCAATCGCCTGCAGGAAGCGGCTGCGGAGACGTCAGCTCCACTTCGTGCAGATCTGGGACATTATGCTTGAAGTTTGATGTGCATCTTTGTTGACCAGACCGTCAGTCAACTTGCCGTACTCTGCAAAAGGTCCTTGAAGTTCCGGATCTGTGCAAACGATCTTACACCTTACCGTCTCTGCAAATGGTCCTATACTTCTGAGGAGGTCCATAATAGTATGATGTCCGACACCGCTTGACAATTCGTTGTCAGAAGAAAGTCATCGCAACGGAACCTGGCCCAGCATGGCCATCTATATTTGACAGCCCAATGTAAGGCAAAGCTTTCAAGCGGATTGTGGGACTCAGGAGAAGGGGGGGAATGTTTGGAACTCGTAAGCATTACAACGGGTCTTAGAACATATGCCAAATTTCGAAGACCCCAAACTTGGAACAGGGTGTTCTTTTTTCATTCCAATATTAGAGCAGCGGAACAGACTTTCTTCGCATCTGGGACGCCTTTCAAAGCTGCGGGCATGACGCATTAAAGTGTAACAGAGAGCTCGTAAAAAGGGCCTGGGTTGAGTGCTTTGCATTCGGACCGTTCCCAGCTGTTTGATCACTTGGGCTTCTCTTTGACAGCATCTGAGCTTACATACGCAGTGACTCTCGTTTGCAAGGAATGCTGGCAGGTCAGGACTTAGAATCTTTGATTCCTCTGTACAGGGAACTGAAGAGAGACGCCGGTGACTCAGCTCACGGTATCCAGTGGTGGCAAATTGAGCGTGTCCCGGGGGCACAAACAGAAAGTACGGACAGAAATGCCGTGTTAACTTCATTTGTCCTGGCAGGAAAGACAGGAAAAGTCCATGGTTGGAAGGGAGGGGGGCCCAAAGAAAGGAGATGGAATCCAGAGAAATGAGAAGCAAGCAAAAGAGGAAGCGTGATTAGGTACTACGCACCTGATAGGACGGCCAGCTGAACAAAAACAGCGGCGCATCCTCCTGGATCTTATATGCGCAGAGCGCCATTTTCCTCGCCGCCGACCCAAACCGAAAGTTGAACCCGTGCACGTAAACAACCGCCTCGCTTTTCCCCTTGCTCCATCCGCGCTGGCCCCCCCGCCTCTGTCCCCTCAGAGTCTTATCCACATGCCGCCGATTCTGCGCCATGTGGTGTTTCAAATATTCCTGGCTCATTCCCATGCACTTGGTTATCATTAACCCGTCTCGAACCCCGGTCTTGGCCGTCCGAGCCCGATCCCAAAACCACCCAAAAGGGAGATCGGAACGCGTCTGAGCAACGTTGTCAATGTCGGGAATGGAAACGCGCACAAGGCCCACGGAGACTTCGTCCGCTCGCTCAATGCCGTAAAAGGCTTCCGTGAGATTATTCCCACTGGGCTGCCGGCAGGTGCCGTACCAGATGGGCACGTCCATGAAACCGGCGGCGTCTCCGGCCCCCTCGGAAGGACGCGACTGCCCTCGTTGCAGGTAATCATGCAGGCGATGAAAGCTCGTCAACAGATCTTCCTTCGATTTCCAGTCGACGGGAAGCGCCACATTTGCGACGTCCACTTTCTCCAGCAGAAAGCTGACGGTCTCTGCCGCTTCCGGGGAATTTTTGCAGTGCGCAATTACCGCGTCCGCAGCTTCACTCAGCTGAGCAGAGGTCACAGTTTGCAGGGGGGCTGTCGTGACTGGCTCCAAAATGGTCAGCAGCCCCCCGGCAAACTCATCCCAGCTGTCGCTGAGGTCGCGCCTGATGTCAGCGATGTGGATCAGAATGCTGAAAACAGCGGCGCTTTGGAGGAGGTGTTCTTGGTCCTGAGAACCAGAAGCTGTCTTTGTTAAGCGCAGGGTTTTGAGGAGGTTGGCGGGGATCAGGCCCGAAGGCCTGATGGTTCCGATGACTGAGCTAAATGAGTTCATTCTGACCTATTAGTTGGTCAACCTCTGCTGATTTGTTTCTGGTGAGCTTTCCAGCTCTTGACCTCTGCTTAGCTGCTTTTCTACAATGCTGCATTCCATCTGAACAGCATTCCTTGGAGTCGTGCTTTCGCTTCCCTGTGCCTTGTGGAAAACCTCACGTGTTTCAGACAGGCAACGCGGGGGCCTTGTTGCACTTCTCCCTATAGCTCAAACAAAGAATGGTCACCCAAGCAAGAGCTGATGAGTGAGTTTGGCTAACCCAGAATCGCTACCCGGAAAGTAGGATACAATTGTAGTGAAGCACAGATGAAATGACCCCGTGGCTCCCACGCAAAACAAAAGGTGAGCAAGAATTGCAGACGCCATACCACCTTCTCCTGTGGCTCACTCTGAAGGAATGCCAGCTCCAAGAGGGCTCCAAGGGTCGGCCAAGCCTACTATTTAATAGGCATGCATGTGCATTGTGCATCATTCAGCTTTGAAGTGTCCCTCCGGTTTTCAGGGCTGGAATGATGGGGCTGAAAATCACACGCGCAACTTGCAACCATGATTGAATCAGATTGATCCCCACTATGCGACCTCTCCATGGCCCTGGGGGGGGTAGCTACCTATAATCCACAAGTTACGTGTACGGCCGGTCTCGGATGGTACAAGGGCTTAGGTTAGATACTGGTTTGGCTTGGGTTAGATCAGGTTAGATGACCTTCAACTGCTTGTTGCCTGCCCATCCGGGTTATCTCGATGTACCTTGATTTCAGGGTTTCTCGCTCTCCCAATAACTTACCCTATGCCTTTTTCACTCTCCATGACACCCCCGTATGATGCACATTGCAGTGACATTGGGGGAGGAAGAGTTGCTTCGTGATTGAGAGATTGTGCAAATCATGACGGCATTTAATGCAACCGGCCAGGTGGTGTCCTCATTATCATGATGGGTAGTTCAGGCTACAGAGTCGCAATAGATACACCCACCCTAAAATTTAGAAAGTGTTCAACAACCAGAATCCATAGTAATCATCAGGGAGACCTACCTATTCCTATACCTACTGTATACATATTGGATCTGAAGCATTCCTTTCAAATGAGCTCGTGCTTCAGAAGTTGGAATCTCAGCTGGTAAGTTAGCGCCGCAAAAGTTTTCACTTGAGCACTAGTCCTACCCTTCACTAACATTGCCGGGCAGAAGATCTAGAGTCCGTCGCACTCTCGCTTCTTTTTCACAACCTCGCGCTGAAAAGGAAATCTCAAGGATGTTTGAGACCTCTTTGAGAAACCTTTTCCGTTTGCCCACAGCTCATGAGCTGGCTGAAATTGCAGATGCTTGAGGGAAAAGGAAGCTACATTTACTGGCGTGTGGCGTGTGTTCCAAGAAGGTAAGCTCGTCAGAGCTTGTCATCATTAGTAGCTCTGCGTGTTTTAGGCTCGGATGTACGTGTGTCACATCTTAAACGTAGAACATGCTGTTCTCAGCACAACCTGCAAAGTCCACTCTTTTGTTGCGCTCCTTACACATTTTGCACTCCAGCCCAAATATGTCTCTCCATATTGAGGTGGATCACCAGTTCAGAGAGCAGCCAGAAAAAATGCAGGCCCCTTTCCTCACTTGCCGCTGAGCGCGGCAAGCATAGTTCTTTCAAGCTTCAAATCCTGCGGTGTCAAACCTCAAGTTTCTGTATACTGTAAAGGCAGACACTTCACTCTTTGAGAAAGACATTTCTGCCGTTCCATCAGGAGCTTTGAAGTTTTTGGGGTGGAAAGCGTGCGCGCTGTTCAATGCCAGAAGTTTGGAGCGTGCGACAGTTTGCAGATTGTCCTGTGTTAATGGTCATCTGTCTTCGACCTTAGCAACAGCAGAGAGCTGTCAGCTTCAGTGATGAGATGAGAAGAGCGCTCTGCTTGACTGTGTTTGTTCACTGAGTCTCTGGTGCCAAGGTTGCTGCTACCATGTTTTCAATAAGTGTGTTCACAGTAGCTGTTTCCATATATAGACTTTCTGCAAAGCATTGGTGAAGGCAAACCCTCTCTTATAATGATTAGGCAGAACCATATCAACGTTGGGCTTCAGTCCGGGGTGAAGCAAACCCCGGAGCTTTTACAACACAAGAAGTACATGGTTTCTTTTCAGTGCTGCCCTCCAATACTCTTGAGCTTGCCACGTCGTGTGTCATCATAAGTGGTTACTTTCTCTCTGCCTAACCATGCCCCTAATGCTTCTCCTTGCAGCTGCAACGTGCTTTGTCTCGGGCTTTCCGGCAAGCCCCGTTTGCTTACAGCCCATGAAGAAATTTCCGCTTTAAGGATACTGATTGCTGGGCAGATCTCGATGAGCAGAGGTTAAGCTGCCAGCAAGCTAGGGAGGACAATATTACAGGACCAGAGTTTTCTGAGTCAAGAGGTTTCAAGTTGCGGGCTCTACACAGAGGGGCTTCACAGACTTGACAAACCCAGGCAATTCTTTCAACTCCTAAGCTTGCTTCTCAGACTTTCTTCCTTCACGAGGACTTACATTAGGCTCACTCAGCCTACGTGCCAGCTCAAAAGGGCTCCGACTGCTGCTCAAGGAGCCCTCTGAATCTTGTCAGCACCTAGCCAAGAAGTTCTCATAACGTGTTGGGTTTACAAGAAGCTGGGTTTACAAGATGCTGCTGAGCAGCCAAAAGCCAGGTCTTTGTGACTCTGGCTGAAAACCATTGCAGAAAGGCTTGCTCTGTCAAAGTGGAACCGCAGCTTTGTGTAGTGTCCAATTGAAGTTTTACAGTTGGCCACCCTTCATTCCTGTGGGGGCTGATTCTTTCAAGCCAGATGGCTTGTTGATTCTACGTAGTCTCATCCCACCACATTCCTTTTCGTGTTGATACACTCCAACTTGGTATAATCTGTTACAGTCCCTTTGCACTGGTTTCCTCACAGAGTGGATACTTTTCCACCTTAAACTGCTACACCTTCAATTAGAATGATGCGTAATTAGCAATTGACATTCCTGCTTTCTCCCTCCAGGATGAGTAGCTTCAAGCAAAGCAAGAGTAGCTGACTGACAGTTGCATTTTCCGCCTTTCTGCAGATGGATATCTTCAAGCTGAACCCGTTTGCAGTGAAACCCAAGCCGTGCTGGGCGCTCTCCATTCCACTATCTCTGGTGCTAACCACGGCGGTGGGCCTTGGGACAGCCTTTTTCATTATTGCTGTGAGTCAACAGAACATTAATCTTCTAACCATCTGTCCCGTCTTCTTTTTGAGTTGTTAAGTTTTCGCCCCACCTTGGGGACCAAAAGCCCAAACGCACATTTGTTCCAATCACTCCGCCCACCTTCCTACCTACTTTTGGCAACGATATCGGGGCCTGGAATAGCGTTTCCATGGGGATCGTGGAGCCACGTGAGATCCATCAAGTCTGACGCCCTGTCCCTTTCTCTTGTCTTCAATGGGAGTCCTGTCGTTTGACTCGTAATGAGAGTCCTGAGCTTAGGGTGTCAGGTAGAGTGGTCGTACAGCTCACCAAAGGTTGAACTAAATTTCGCAGCCGTCCTTGGCGGTTCATTGGCGAAGGGTCCAAGCTTGAAAAGCTGCAAAGTTGCATTCCTTTGCAAAGTCGGCAGCTCCTCAGTGTAAACGCGCCGCCCTCTTGAATCATCGCTTAGGGCTGAAAGCTTCTTCCTTCCGCTCACCAACAATGAGCTATTACAAGCTGTTGCCTCATGAGAACAGAGTCGTGCCAAGGTTTCTATTCAGAGATTTCGAACCGTTGAATCAGCAATTAACTGTCATTCTGATCGAGATTTGGAAGACTGAGGTCGAGATAATATGACCTCATGTTCGGTCTTCTGTTTGCTCAGACCCCATGTCTGTCTATATTAAGCGAACTAGTCTCCTTCTTTCGTCCTTCGACTGTCGGCAAGCAAACAGTGTAAAGCTTCATTACGACAGTTCATACATTCAGCGGTGTGTTCCAAAAAGTAGTTAAAGTCATTTAACGCTTGAATTCTCACTCTGTCTTGCAGAACTTAACCCTTCTTACCGAGCCCACGGTAACCGAGAAAATCAAGGCGGCCGCGCCGCCATTACCGTTCATCTACTTGTGCCCCAGCAAGCGGCCGTACACAATGTCAGGACCAATCTACGTGGGCTGCGGAGATAACATCTCCGATACTGCATACCCCCTGCAAAGAACTCCCGACGGCATCAGCACCCGCGCCGGGGGGCTGTGCACCCTCCAGCAGCTTGTGACGATCAAGGTGCGCTCCCGGGTGATGCATTTGCTGATGTCATCAGGCGTAAGGTTGTGTGCTCTGACAAGGGCAGGTTGTTTTGGTGGCTTCGGAGGACGTGAGCTCTGCTGACGTCACCTGAGGCCATGTTGCGGTTCAGTGCATATTCGTCGCTTCAAAGGTTGCGTTTTGAAGCAGGGCTTCGGAGCCATTTGATTCGTTTTGGAGCGATTTTCAACCCAGCGATGAAACGTAATGACGAAAGACGTCTAATCTGTAGAATCCTCGTATTTGTGTCCCATCGAAGCACTCAGGTTCCGGCGCGAAACCAAGACACTACTTGCTTGTGACCGATCATAGACCGAGACGTGGAGCAGCCTGGATGACACTCAGTGCGTGGTCTGAGAAGGACCCCGACACTCTTACGTTGACACGCTCTTGTTCGTGTGTCGACAGATAATGGACCGGGACGTGGGCGGCCCGGTTGACACTCAGTGCGTGGTGTTCCAGCACATCGTAGCGAACAAGGACATCCCCTGGAAGACGCAGGTTTACATGATGCTCTCGCGTAACCAATTTACGGCAGGGCTCTCGACGACGACTCTCGACACCGTTCCAAGTAAGCCGCACGATCACTTGGTGAAACCGTTGGCTTTGCAGTCATCTTACCCGTTTGCTTCTTTCCTGGGTCGTTTCAAGAAACCAAATTGATGGCCGCGGTTGGCAGGACGACGCTCGATGCCGCGCCAAGGATGCGACACCAGACTTTGTGTTCGCTCAGTTCGTCTGCCATGCCGGTTCTTGAAAACAATCGAGTCTACGACAGGGCTCTCGACAAAGGCATTAAGCAACATTTGTAAGTACATCCCACTGCATTTGCTGAATCCCCGCGTTTGCATTGTCGTCGAAGCCAACAGATCACCAGCCAGTCGCGGTCGAGGGTGAACACCATCAGATGCTACCCATAAATCTCTTGTTTTTCAGTAGGTTTGAACACCTCTCTCTCGGTTTACCGCCCTGGCAAATAGTCGACGTCTTCACTCTGAAAGCCAATCAAGGCTTCCTGCAAAAATGTTTCCCGAGATCCAAAGTCTAACAGCTTGCGAAGCGAAAACTTTACCGCGAAAAGAAGTAGGTCTACTTATGTGCTTATCCATTTATTCCTTCTCTACCAGTGGGTTCAGACGAGTGACATTCAATCAACGGCTCCGGAAAACAAACAACACGTTCAGTCAGGCAAGCAACCAGGGCTAATGCTGCTCTCGTCAGACTCTCAAACAAGTAACCAACCAGCAAGTTTTATTTAGCAGATTTCCCCCATTTTCAGTCGGTCGTATCGTGTGCTAACCCGTTCTCTCCTTCTCTTCCAGTGGGTTTGAACTGTTAGAAGTATTTGAGCACTGCCACTCGGGCCACACTGGCGCCAGTGTGGCCCGAGTGGCAGTGCGCAAATACTTCTAACAAAAATGCGGTGACCGGACTGGGTTCGATTCCCAGCGAGAACGCGAAGTTTTGCGGCTGGCTGCGCAAAAAGGTTGCCCAGGGGTGGCGTAAAAAGTGAGCTCAGGAAAAGGGCCGCTTTCGAAGTCCTGAGGGGATGGCGTCAGTTACTTCCTTGGTCGGAAGGAGAGGCTCGACTGGAATACTTCTAACATGAACGCCTACCTCTCAGTCAACGACACCTTCAGCCTGGAAGCCAACCAGGGCTTTATGCGAAACGTGGTCAAAATAAACAAGGTCAACGGCTCGCAGGATTGAATAACCCCGCTTTTAAAAGTAGGTTTTGTTTTGCGCTAACCCACCCTTTTGTCCTCTTGCAGTGGGTTTAAACGCCTACCTCTCGGTTTACGGCCCTGGCAACATTAACGACACCTTCAGCCTGGAAGCGAATCAGGGTTTCCTGCGAAACGTGGTCGAGATAAACAAGGTCAACGGCCTGCAGAAGTACGAGGAGGGCGCATTCTTCCTCCCGGTTTCGGTGCTGTCCGCGTTCAAGGTGCAGAAGATCAGCCGCATCTTCCAGGTGCATTCGGCGCGGTCGCTAAGAACCTTCGCCAAGGGAAGCAAGCCGGTAAGGAGTTGAATAGTAACTCGGCTTCTTGTATCAGACCTGCCGTTACGTTACCGTTACAAGTTTCTTGGTTTCGGTGCTGTCCGCGTTCAAGCTTGAGAAGATGAGCCGCATCTTCCAGGTGCATTCGGTGCGGTTGTTGCGGGCCTTTGCCGAGGAGTGAGGAGACGGGTGGTAGTTGAGTTTTTCACTTCAGTCTTGCCGTCACTTTGTTGCTGTCCAAGCTTCCCAGTCGTTACCACCTTTCGCCAAGGGAGGCAAGCCGGCAAGGTAACCGGTCGTGAACGAGCTGTCTGATACAGACTTGCCGTTACTGTACTGTTCAACTTTTTCAAACGCTGCGAGCCTTTCGCCAAGGCAGGCAACCCGGCAAGGGACCCGGGAACCTTCTAGAAACCGAGGTTTTCTAGTTTTAGCTATTTAGGCTAGCTTCAACTTTACCGGTTTATTGAAGATCTTTCACTACCAGCCTTGGACCAGCGGAACTTGTTCTCGAAAGAGGTGCTCGAACCGCAGTTGACTCCAGACAGGGAGAAATTAATCGTGCGGTCAGGAAGAGATCTGTCTGGAGAGTGGTTGGAGATCGATGCAGCCAGACGTGCAATCAACCGTTGAACATAAAAACCCAAACGGGTTGACCAATTTCATTCTCCCTTGTTGGAGTGCTGCCGAAAGCCGCCCTAAGTCAGGTTGAACACGTGTCCTGAAAAGCCTCACGGTTGCGATGGTCTTTCCCACGTTCTGCAGAAGCTTATTGGGCTCACCGGCGTCGACGGTTCGACCACCGCGCCGCTGCCCAACCTAGTTAGGGCTTTTGCAGCTGCATCTGAAATTGTTACCACCTCTTTGCAGATCATCAAGTTCACCGGCGTCGACGGCTCGACCAAAGCGCCCCTGCCCAACCTAGTTACAAAGATTGCATCCTTGAATTACTGCGGGCGGGCTTATCTAAGAAGTTGAAGTTATTGCTGTCTGCAGATTATCAAGTTCACCGGCGTTGACGTCTCGACCAACGCGCCGCTGCCCAGCCTAGTTCCCGGCCTCCTCCGACTGCATTTGAAATCGTTACCACCTCCTTGCAGATCATCCCGGCGTCGACGGCTCCACCAACGCGCCCCTGCCCAACCTAGTTATGAAGGTGCCCATATTTAATAAACCTGGGCGAATCTTTAAAGACCGTTATTGCTGTCCGCAGATCATCAGATTCACCGGCGTCGACGGCTCGACTAACGCGCCTCTGCCCAACCTAGTTCCCGGCCTCATCCGGCTGCACGGCGTCGCGGCCGCGGACGCGGACGACTTCGAAGCCGCGGCCGCGTCGATCAGCATCAGTTTCGACGAAGTTAAGTACACCGAGATCAACCAGGTCGGGGTTATCCTGCTGCTCGTGGGGATCATCCCGGTGTATCTAGGCATGGCGGCGAAACTGTGGGCGTGGGTCTTCGCGCCGTTTCCCAAGCCGGGCCCTGCTCCAAGCCAGCACTTTTTGGGGTACCTCCGGAAAGCCCCCGAGGAGCCGAAGAAGGACGAGGAAGCGGTGCCGGCGGGGGACGAGATGACGGAACAGTTTATGAAGAAGTAAGAGGAGCTGCGCAGTCGTTGGTCTGCCGTTCAGAACATAACGGAGAGTGTTGGAAACGTTACGTTGCTATGGTGCTATGTTGCTATGTTGTTGAAAGCAAGTCGACGCGTCTTCAAGGAGGTTTCCGGCAGGTAGTACTAGGGAAAAGAGAGGTGATGAAGCGGTGAAGGCAGCTCACGGGCCGCTGATTTGGGTAGGCTCCGCTGCTGCCTTCGTTGGAGAGTTTCCTGAAAATCAATATTCTCGCAAGGAGAAGGCTAAAGACAGGAACATTCCTCGGAGATGAAGACCCGTTAACGGAGCCGATATGAAGGACTTGGATCAGTTGAAGACCCTGCAGTCCCGCTTTTTAGCTGTAGATATAAGCTCGCTCGCAACCCGTTGCGTCGTAGATATTGCGTGGGGACCGCTTACTTATTAGGGGCATCAGGTGGGTATAGTCACCTGAAAAAGTTGCACGGCGGTCAACCCGCTAGGAGGAACAGATTGGCACAACCGCTAGAAAAATATTTGACCAGTCGGAAGCAGTGACACCAGCGGAGAAGTTCAAAAGAGCAGCGCCGGCGCGCAATGCAGAGTAGAAAGAACTTAGCAGAAGGCATTTGAGCAAGAACGAGGAAAAAGGTCGGAACCGGTTTCGCGGTTACTAGACGAGCTCGAGACAGCCTTCTTGGATTGAACATCAAATGAGCCTGCTTAGAACTCTCAAACGACAGTTGCGGTTTCAGGTCAGGGTACCATACGAGTGCCTCAGAGGGGCCGCAGTCAGACTCTCTCAGTTGGACACCGTAACTTATTGCCCCAGCGGCGCATGTGGAGGTCGATCTTCAGATTCCGACTTGAAATACAATCGCGGCCACGACTCGGAGTGGCGGAAGGATCGACTCTGCATCGCTACTCCATGATCTGTACATCTTAATTTCATACCACATGCAATAACCAGTCAACCCAAGCAGCATGGAGATGTGCAGGTGTGCGACTCTGGCGAACATGCGGTTCACTCTTGGCTGATTGTATGATGCGTGAATTTTGAGATGGCCGTGGTCAAGCTGACCCGGCATCATCAAATTCTACCATGGCCGGCCGCGCAGCACGGCCCGACCCGGGGGCCCGCGGGCCCGCGATCAATCAGAGTCACGCATTCACTTTTGCGGCAACTTGCTAACTTGCTCAGACAATATGGTCACCATATATGCCCCACGCAACGCCGGCCCTACATTAGTCTGTCGGACGGTACATTAGTTCTAGATGCATGAAAGCTGACACATGACGGTCTGAGACTGACTCACACTGAAAAGTCGGGAACCATGATCATTCTGAGTCCGATCCCACTCCGGCTCTGGCCGGGCGGCCAGCCTGGTGGACCCGTATATACGTGCCGACAGCAGGGTAGATGTGCAACTGAGTATATTGTACTAAGAACTAATGATCGATTGCAAAGTGGTCGAGCGGATCCGATTCTCGAGGCAGGCTCAGCCCGCGCGCTCGATAGCGCGGTTGGCGGGCTTTATCTTTAAGTGACGAACTATAGTTAGTTATGGCCTACTAGCCAGGTTGCAATCATCATGCACAGTACGGTACCCAATTATAGCTAAAGTGGGCTGCAATGATGGCTATATGCCATCTCATGGAAGGTACATATACGTGTCCGCGTCCACTCAGTGTTCTGTCGTAAGAAGGAGGCCGAGAGCTCATGATGAGCTCTGGCATGAATTGCCGTGGAACAAAGCAAAAGCCTTCGATCAGAAATGTGTACTAAGTTAAGGTTTGGCATCCGATCTACAATACACTCATATACTACAAATAGTAAGTTGCACAAAGCAAACATATTGCAATCGGTTCAACGTCTCCGATCAGTCCTTCTTCTCCGTATCCCCAACCAGTGCTCCCGCTTGCAACCCCCGTGACCCCAGCCCTAAGCTCCTCAGCCCCTCTTCCACAACCGAGTTAGCGCCAGCAATGTTACTATCCCGTACCCGGGCTATCCGTTTCGTGATCTCGGGCAGCTCTTTTCTCCGCCCCAACAACAGACCCCGCCCGGGGGTTCGACCCGGGGGCGGGTCCTCTTTGGGCTTCTCTTCGCCGCTCATAAAAGTCGCCTTCTCCGCTTCGGCGGCGAGCGCAACCATGGTCTCTTTCTCTCGCTCCGTTTGGGCTTCTTTCATCTGTTCGCGGATCGCCTCGTACTTAATCATCAGGTCTTGCCGCCTGGAGATGCAAAAGCAAAGACGTGATCTTTGCTGGAACTGACCAATCAAAGCACCATAGACCGGATAATCAGGCCAAGAAACATAAAGATTAAGGCTAACACAAAGACTCAACAGGAAGATAACATGTGATGCAACTCTTAAGGCTCAATCAATGAGCAGCCGCACTACGAAGAGTTCAGCTCTAAGGCAAATTTGATTCCCAAAAAGGCCCTTGCAAATATAGTTGGAGGAAGGAAAGCCTGACAACAGAGAAAACATATGTCTACGAAGAAGAAATCTGGACAGTTGTGCAACACCTTCAACTAATACATTCAGGCCATCTTGAAAACAGGATCCATACAGTCTCATGCGATTACGAGGATTGAGCCCTAGCGTCAGGAGGAAAGCTGATCGGCCGTGCTTGGAGGACGACAGGAAGAAATAGCAACAGGAACCACAGAAACCTTGAAGTTCTGTATCGATAACCTGAGCATCTCAGATGTGATTTCCTTACACTCTCGCGATATCCTTACACTCTCGCAATACAACAATCAGAAAGAGAGTTCGTGATTTGCACTGGCTTACTTGGTGGTGAAGGACGACGGGAAGAAGTCTGGGAAGTAGCGCTGGATGAAGGAGAAGACGAGCACGTGGCCCACGGGGGTGATGGGGATGATGAGGATGATGGTGAACGGAATGAGCACCAAGATGTCCTTGGTCGTACGCCGCAGCGTTTGCACCTGGGAGAAAGAGAACGATGACGTCAGCAGAACGCCAGCACTAGATGAAGGAGAAGACCAAAACATGGCTCGCGTGGGTGATGGGGATGATAAGGATGATCGTGAAGCGAATGAGCACCAAAATGTCCTTGGTCGTGCGCCGCAGCGTTTGCACCTGGCAGGACAGAATGACGTCAGCAGGGCGTCAGCAACACCCTACTCGAGGAGAAGACGGGGAACGGGCCCATGGGAGTGATGGGGATGATACCGATGATCGTGAACCAGATCAGGACCACAATGTCCTTGGTCGTGCGCCGCAGCATTTGCTCCTGGCGTCAGCAGAACGTCAGGTGAGGATCTTTTTTGCAGATCCCCCGCTGGTTTTGACAGGGTTGCGAACATGGGATTGATCTTGCTTTGTTGGCACTCGTTGGGATGCTGAGAATGATCAAGGACGGAAACAGCGTCTGCAACTGGCGAGAGAGACGGATGACGTCCGCAAAGCGTCAGCTGGGGTCTACTCGGTTAGCATTTGCCCGCTGGCACTGCTGCTGGTTAAGTTGCGACTGCGTCACTTTCACGTTATCAGCGGCTTCACGGAAGCCAGAGCGTTGCACCTAATGGGAGGTGCATGACGTCAGCTCATGGAAAAACGAAGGGACGGAACTGACGAGGATGGCGAGAAGAAGGAGGGGTTGGTGCCTTACTCGGAAGACGAAGGTGAAGAAAGTCGCAAGGAGAGGAGGCGGAAGAGGAAGAAGGGGCGACGGGGAGTCGTCCTCGGAAGAGGAGGGTCGCTCTAGGAGGAAGCATCGGAAGCGGCATGGGGTTGGAGTTGACGCAAATGGAGTAGGAGAAGAGCGAATTGCGGTCGTGGTTGGAGCTTGGCAACGAATGGACTCTGTCGGTGGCGGCTTACCTCTCTTGACTTGAGGGTGGTCCCTGTGACGGCGACCCAGAAGAGCTTGCCCGCATATGACAGGTCGCCCGCCAACAGCCGCAGCCCCCGCCAGTAGAAGGACGCCCCCTCCTTCAACTGCAACAGCACATCCCGGTCAGAACGGGAGCGGACAAGGAAATCTAGCATCGAAAACGACTCGATCGTAATCCCCGCCCGGGCCCTTAAGAGACAAGCCTTGAGAGGCAGGAGCGACAGTTCAAGCGGGAAATCACAGGGAATGAACGAACAAGACGGAGTTGATGATCTCAGAAAGTCATTCCTGACGTCAACCGAGACGGTTGTCCTTTGCAATACTCAACGGAGCACCTCACGTAAAACACAAGCAAAGCCAAGCCACTTCTTTGTGGGCACCGGGGCAGACCGAGACCTTGTCTCCAACGGTCGTCCCACTTGCTGCTCGAGCGGAGTCTCCGCTTCACTATAAGCAATGTTCAGGTGGGTAAACGACTCCACTATGCGTCTGAAGAAACACAGGTATGGCCAGAGCATTCTGACCACAGTGACAGGACAGCTGACAGAACGGTAGGAGGGTGTACAGGTAGTCCCGGCGGCCTCCCTAGGGACCTCCTTCCATTGTAACCCCTTCGATCGACGGTCTTAATCATGACTCTGATAACCCAGGACGTCGATCCTAGGGGGTAATAGCTAGGAGCGGTCTTACATCGGCTCGGGAGTCCAAGTTCTCCATTCTTTCGTTCTGACAGACATCTTTTTTCAAGTATTGTATTGCATCATGACGTTCAAATCAGGCAAAAGACAGAAACGCTTCGGGAAAGCACCTTCAAAGTGTTCTCCTTGTACGCGATGCCAATCCGCTGCTTGAGCGGTATCTTCGCTTCCTCCACAATGCCCAACCGATTCTTCAACTCCGGAACATCCTCTGCCAACACCGACAGCTCCTCATCTTGGATCAGATCTGCCTCGTTCCGGTCCACCGCAGCGCGCAGCCGCGCAAGCTCGCCGTCCAAAAGTCCGAACTCGGCGACAAGCAGGCTCTCGTCTTCGTCCGTTCTGATGTCCTCTGTAAAGAAACAATTCAGCTCTTTTGAGATCTGCAGCTCTTTCCAGTTCTAGGGTCTGAAAATCAAGACCGAGTGTGGTAAGATTCTTTGCTTCATTGCGATCTACCGCCGCGCGTAGCCGTGCTAGCTCGCCATCGAGAAGGACGAACTCGGCAACAAGCAGGCTCTCATCCTCATCAATTCTGATGTCCTCTGCAAAGGAAAAAAATTGCTCAACAATATGTCTAAGGTGTTTCTGGAGCATCTGGAAACGGTCTGCCTCGCTGCGATCTACGGCGGTGTGCAGCCACGCTAACCCGCCGACTAGGAGTCCAAATTCGGCGGCCGGCAGACTCTCGTCGTCGTCCGTTCCTATGTCCTCTGCAAAACCGGACAATCGGTGCATTGAACTCCAAGTCCAAGGTTTGAAAGACGAGAGTATCAGAATCTCTGCTTCGTTCCGGTCCACCGCCGCGCGCAGCCGTGATAGCTCGCCATCGAGTTAGCCGAACTCGGCGACAAGCAAACTCTCGTCCTCATCCGTTCTGATGTCCTCTGCAGAGAAGGATTTGTCGACAAATTGTTGAATCGAATAGGGTATTTCTGGAGCATCTGAAAAGATCTGCCTCGTTCCGGTCCTCCGCCGCGCGCAGCCGTACTAGCTCGCCAGCGAGCAAGCAGAACTCGGCGACAAGCAAGCTCTCGTCCTCATCCGTTTTTGATGTCCTCTGCGAGAAAAGGATTCGGCGGTTAGTAATTAACAAGTAATCAACAGGTTTCATAAGAAAGAGATCAGACCCTCCTCAATCCACTCAACCACTGCGAACAGCCCTCCTAGCTCGCTGACGAGGAGGCCGAACTCGGCGACAAGAAGTCTTCCGTCCATTCCTGTATGAACGTACTCTTGGTTAGAACAAGGTTGTGCTAAGGATGAACGAGCAGTGGGGACAAACTCTAAGTTATAAATGAGCGGGTCTCGGGAGTTGCCCCGAAAGTAGCGCCAACACCCTAAAAAGCGTGTCCAGAAGGCAACGGGCTCTCGTGCGATCCCGCCCCAAACTTGTCGCCTCAAACAACGGTGTACAACCTTTCCGGTGTGCACTATTTCCAACCCAAACGGCTGGGTAATGTAAACGGAGCCAGTTGACCCTGATCGGTGACAGAATATAATGAACGAGAAAACTTTGCAAAGCATCTGTTGCTCAGATATTGCACGAATGAAGACAGGGGTTTGTCAACCGCTCACCGGTGATCTGAATGACCTCCTCCTCTAAGCACGCATAGATTAGTTCCATCTCCAATTGTAGCGTCCGCACCGCCAGCTTCTTGCGCAGCTCGTTTACCTGCCAAGGAATGAAAATAGTGTGAATCGCCACAAGAAGCCAGCTTCTTCAGCAGTTCTCTCTGCGTGCTGGTTGTTCTTCAGCATCTCTCGTTGTCAATTCGTTCCGGTTTGTCGAAAGTAAAAAGAAAGAGACGGTGTCAAAGTCCGGCAACTCGACTCTAACACGAGTTCATCGAGAAAAGCTGCAAGGGAAACTAGAAAAGCTGAAAGGCAAGCTAGAAACGTCGGCTCAGCCAATCTATCAAACGTGGACAACACCATAGTCTGCTGATGGAACACCAAACCTAGGAAGAATAGCTCCTGAATATTGGATTCCTCATCCAAAGGGTCGTGCGGGATTGGGCTGAGGAAGAACACACCTCGTCGTCCAACGGCCTAACTAGCCTGATTTTAAAGCCATCTCTAGCCCTAACTCACTGAAAATCCATCAGCTTATGAATTCCTGCTTTGACGCGAAGACCTTGCAGCGCCCATCAAATGCGGAAAGCAATCTGAACCATCCAATTGAGACAATGTAGCAGACGGTGCAAAGCATGTCTTCCGGCCTTAGAGTCGCGCTTTGTGACCCTGAACGCACCTCGTCGTCTAGCGCCCTGATCTCGTTTGCCAGCCTCGCCCGCGCCAGCACGTTCTTCTGTCGCAACCGTGATTCACGCTCCCTGCTCGCCTCCCGCAACCGCTTGTCCAGCTTTTCTACCTGGCCAAGGAAGCTGATAATGAACATGGTTTCATCACCTTTGACTTTTCCATCCTTGTCACCATCTCGCATTCAGCAGCTCTAAGAAAGCCTCTCTAATAAGTCAGCTCTGCGTAAGCTTCTTTAACAAGGCAAAGTAGAAGCATTCATAGAACTGCCTGAAAATGTTGGAAAGATTGCCGAGATAAAAGTATTAAGACTGATGTGGAGGTGTCAAGATCCGTTACAACAAACAGTTGATGACAAGATTCAGAACAAACAAGTGCGGGATAGGACGCAAGGGATTTTACTACCCCCGCAACTCGTCACAGAAAGATCGTACTTACCTCTAAGATGAGGTCCCGTTTCCGGTGCTCGATCTCATCGCGCGATGACGGTATTGGCCGTGGAAGCCCCTCTGCCAGATTGTCCTCTCCGACCGGCCGCGTCGTCGGCCGCCCATTGAGGCGTTGCCAGACGTTGCCCAATTGGCCAACGAAACTGATGGATACCTGCAACGAACAGTTCAATGATTCAAAATCTTCTCTGCGCTGTCCTCCACATCTCTGATCGCTGCAAAGGCCGGTCTTTGATCGTTTACAATCCTAGACCGCACCCGAAAAGTAAAGATAAACTTTACCGTCTGATGAAATTGCAAGTGCGTACTTTGACACCTTACAAGTGCCAAGGACAGTACGAACTCGGGACGGAAACACTCTGGAAGCTGTCCACTAATGACGTAATCCTTTCAGAGTCCCTGGATCTCTGCAAAGAATCCAATCACGAGGCAAGCATAGACAATCGCCCATCGCTTTGCCACTGGTGTGGTATGCAGCGAGTATAAACACGTAAGTACATTGAAATCCGTGACGGTCAACGAACATAGATCGATATCCTTTTCTTGTAAACGTTGTGAAGTAAGCATTCATGAACTGTTGCCCATATCGATATCATTCTCAAATCGTTGCAGACTTACGCTGGGGATCTTGGCAAGGTCGGCTTGGGAGAAGCGCAGCCGGCCGTCCTTGGTCTTGACCACCAGGTTCAGGTCCACGGTGCTGAGCCGGTCCAGGAACCGGTTGAGCACCGCGCTCGTGTCTGGAAGGCTCCGGCCGAGCCCCTTCTTGGACTGCTGCGCGAGAAAGCAAGAGGGATAAGACACTGCGCTCGTGTCGGGAAGGATTCCACCCAGCCCCTTCTTGGACTCAAGGAAGAGAGTATTGTGAGACATGGAACACTGCACTCGTGTCGGTAAGGGTCCGGCCGAGCCCCTTTCTGGACGGAAGGGCGAAAAAAGTGAGGGACTGAGAACGGTTCCCCAAAAGACATAGAAAGTGGCCATCGAGTTTCCTCACTGCTCGAGGCATGGTTCCTAGTAACGCCCCGCCCCTTGTCGGACTGGAGGGCGAGAAAAAGCGAGAGACCAAAAACAGCTCCCCAAAGGCATACAGCTGTTCGCATCAAAAGGGCCATCGAGTTCCCAATTCTCGAAGTATGCTTCCTAAATTCGGACTCTACAACGTCTAGCCCCTTCTTGGACTGGAGGGCAAGAAAAAGCGAGACACTAAAACGGTTCCCCAAAAGATACAGCTGTTCCCATCAAAGTGGACATTGAGGTTTCCAATGGTTTCTGATCCTGGACTATCTGGTTAGACATTTGAAAGGGAGCGGACGCTCAAGATGGTGAACCATAACCGAAAGTTGAAACCTGGAGTGGCAAGTTTGCCGCATAACAGCTGCAAAGTTTCCGTCGTCTCAGGTCGAATGTCCTACACAGCGGAGATAGCATGGTCATTATGACGGAAAAGCTTCTTGGTATCGAAGCAATTGAAAGGTGCAAAGAAAATGCTCTTCGACAAGCTTAACAGGCGCTGCAGTGGTTGAAATATCCAGAATCAGAAGAAGGAGCAACAATTGATCTGCAATAACGCTGTCTTAAGAGAGGCAGAGAGAGACTCAATTGTTCCATAAAACACGGTAAACACAGCCGGATATAGCACACGACCACGCAGTTCTACAAAAACGAAAGGATTGCCAGCAGGAATTTTGAATTGGAAACAATGTGTAAGGTATCGGCCGCACCTCTTCCTCGTCTTTCTTTTGCCAGGCAGCCTCTTCCTCTCGAGCCCGCAACTTTTCCTCTGGAGTCAGGCTATCCTTGACCTTCTCGGCCTGCTTCTCCAGCCTGCTGACCACTTTTGACACCGTGTCGCAGATGATGCCCTCCGCAGTTGTGTTGTCCTGAAGCAAGCGTCATACAATAATTAGTCTTACAAGACACTGTATCCTCTTGTCAAAGCAAGAATGCTTCACAATCTTAAAGAGGGCGTCTAACCACGTGGTACCGCGGCGGCCACTAAAAAAATAGTCTGCTCTCATGTCGCCGAAAATTCATTCCCGTGGTACAAATTTGGCGACCGAACTGTGGGCAGACGAACTATCTGGTCGGCGAGGCGTTACGGGTCACAAGACATGCCCTTCAACTCGTTGGGGCGAAACAAGCCCCGATAGAGGGCTTAAATTTATTGAGTGTAAGTCAGAAACTGTTCTGAGAGCCTCAAGATTCTCAACTTAAACGATGGTTCGTGATCCGTTGGATCTGATTAAAGGCCAAAATATTCTAGTCTTTGGTTCGTATGCCATGACTTCCAGCGGCGCATTCTGGCAGCCTGGATCGCATATCGTAAACCTGTCAATTTGGATTGTTGGACTCCTGAACAAAGAAGAAAAGCTCTGCCCTTGTTAATCCTCAAGGATCCCACAGGTGTTCCTTTAGATTCCCCACTGTGCTCTTCGGTAACCTAACACGGTAAGATTGCATTTGCCTGTACCCCTTACAGCAGTTTTTACGCGGATATCATTATAACTCTTGAAAGGCTTCTTCGAATCCATTTTGCGGCCATCTTTGCAGGACAATCGGTTTGCCTCATAGCATTTATTTTCTGTAGCCATTTTGGAAGATCAAAGTGCCTGATGTATATAAATTCAACCGAGAAATTCGAGTTTATGCCACCACAATCACTTTAATTCACGACCATTTATTGCAACAATGGGAGATGAACCACAAGGATATACTCACCGGGAAAACAACAGGGAGGAGCCCATTCACACCACGGAGATCCCTCTGCAGCGCTATCCCCAGCTCACGAATGTCCTCTCCATAGTCCAGGATCTCAAGGGGACTCAGGGACCAGTCCTCCCCCTGAATGAAAAAAGTCGACTTTGGTAAGTCACCAGGTAAGCAGTCTATCAAAAAGTCTTTGGGATTCAGGGGGCAAACGGTATGCACACAATATGTATTCCAAGTGACTCATAAGTTTGGTCACACAAACGCAGCTTAATCGTGAAGTTTGCTTAGGAGCGGACAGATAGTCTCGCTATGGTGAAAGAGTATGCGTTGCCAAACTAAGGTGTTGGTTGGGAACAGATTTGTCTAATGTGCCTATTATGCAGCAGCTCGCCAAGTAACCCCACTTTTCAATCATTGTCGAGATGAGGGCTTTGCACATGATGCTTTTACTTCTGCTATGTTCCATACGCGGCTTAGTAACTGACTTTCTGCCGACCGGCAGCCATTGAAAGCCCCCATTCCAAGTAAACTCCCAATTAGATCACAGTTGCATCCACTCGTAACTTTTTACCTACAATTGAGCTATGATAAGCAAGCAAAGGTAAACCGCAATGCCTGAGCAACTCAGGACTTAGACCGTCGGTAACTGCACACAATGAAAGATGCGCCAACCAAATGCATGCAAACCACAAAACTGCTGCTCCAGCATCCTGGTATGAGCAACCTAGGAGCCATCAATACAGAACAAGTAGAAAGCAACGAATCAAATGGTCCAGGAGTGTAGATCATATTGACTGCTGAGAAGAACTTAGACTATGTTGAATGACAGTACAATCTGGAGGATCGAATGTGTGAAAGCTGTGCGGATTGAATTAATTACAAGTTTACCAGCAAGCATCTCACCTTATTACTGCCAGGCCGCCACTTTGACTTCCAGTCCTTGCCCTTCTCCCTTGACCCCCCCTGCTGCGCCTCATCCTCAACCTTTGCAACTTTTGGGATTGGACTTTCAAGAATCCTCTCTGAAATAATGATATCACGGTACAGCCGCCTCAGCAACACTAGCACCTCTAACCGCCGCAGCCTCTCCTCAGTCTCTGCAAAAATCTTCTGCCCCTCGAGAACAGTCTCCACCGGCTTGATTGCCCCGCTGCTCAGCCCATTCTCTGAGACCGCCTCAGAAATGGCACGGGCGTGAGACGGCCGCCGCCGGCGCTTAGGGTTAGCGACGAGTGGCTCAGATTTGAGGAACTGAGAGGATCCATAAGCAGATGCAGAGCTCAGAGCAGGAGATGCAGCGGGTCTGAGACTAGGTGCAGAGCTCAAAGCAGGCCTGCATGGGTAGCTGACAACCCGAGGTCCTTCACAAAAAGTGTTCGCCCGGTTCCAGATGCAGGAAAACTGTGGATGCTTAAATGTCGCAACCTTGGGGTGCTTCCTCTCTGCCAAAGAAGCATGCAGCACTCCTGGCCCACAAGCAGGGCTGGCAAGGTTCACGACCAGAACCATGATTCGAAGGGGCCCCTCGGCAGGGCTCAGTATTCAGATGACACACCACTCGAAGAAGCTGCACCTATAGATGTCCGGGCCGAGCAGCATCTCAGAGGAGCAAACCTCGACCAGGCTTGAGGACGGCGTTTACTTTCCTTTTCACCTTCTTATCATGAGCAGCCCCTGAAAGCAGCTGTAAAGGATTCCCCCCTTCGAGATCAGGCGCTCCTTAATTGCGCAACCACCTCATCCTTCTGAATTTCCTGCACCCAGCAGAAACGAGGCGCCAGCTGGGCCATCCGCCCTATCCACCCCCTTTCCCAGCCGCTTGCATTTGTGAAATGGACAGATGGCAGCCCTTGAGAAACTTGAAGCCAGCTGCGCGCCACGTAGACAGGCAACTGCCAAGGCATTACCAGGCGTATCTGACCATCTTCGAAAGTTGCACCGTCGATTAATGGATCTGCTCGCTCACCCTGAAGCGCAGTCGATGGGAATGAACGGGACAAGAAACCGGTTAGATCGCCGCCGGGAATGGTTGAGACCCAAGGTTCGAACGATATATGCTGAAAACGGAGGGCCCCGCTCTAGATGCATCTCTAGTTCGAACGTCGAAGTCCATTCTTGCGCGCACACTTGTCACTAGGCTGCAGGCTGCAGCAGTGCAGGCAATTGTGCCGGGGCCTGCTTTTTGCTCATGGGCGCGCAAAATTTTCGCCAGCTTTTGCTGAGCGGCATTCAATGGCGTCCAGTGCGCCGCTGCCAGCACTAGCGAGCGCCGGTTATCGCTGGCGAAGAAGGCAGACTGTCCAGTGTGACTCGGGCTGGCGAAGATCGGTTTTACTTAGTTGGCCCAAACTGTAAGCTAATACCTCTGGTAGGGCCAACTGTAAGCTAACAACTCTGGTACCCCGTACGCTTTATCCAGGAGTTCTTCATGCAAAGCATCATCCATGGAGCTGAAATGCATGATTGTAAGGCGTAAGGGCGTGTGAGCGTTGTTGCTTGATAACCTTGTCATTTCATTGAATCTGTTGCCTGAGGGGGCAGTCGAAATGGCGGCTCCTCAGATGCGCAAACTCTCACTGGAAGAAGCAGCACCGCAAAGAAAGGACTTGGAGAGGAGGTGGAATCTGCTTGAAGATGCGGCAGCGAATGGAAGTGAAGACGAGGAAACGGAGAGGGCAAAAGAGCAGTGGTATGTTGATTTATATCCGAACCATGAGGAACACGAGATTCAAAGCGGCGGAGCATGCATTGCACCATGCTCTTGCAATGTGCAAAGAGTTCATGCATAATGGGTGCAATTCAACGTCGGGAACCACTAAGTTCGCTCACTTTCTTTGCCCTTCGAAGGCCCTGCTACCACCACATTTTCTGACGGACTGAAAAGTGCAAGCAGCTTTGCACACACTTGGCCTCCCATTCCCCTAGCCTCAGCTATTAAAACCAGACACATTAGACTCTTTCAGGCACAATTACTCGCAGCTTGTCGTTAAGACTTGAAGACTTACAAGGAAAAGATGTTGGGCTCCATGAATTCATCAGATTCCCCACCATTTCATCGCAGCCTCCAGTGCAATGACCACCTCTTGGACAGATCTTTAGCGTTTGTCACCATCGTCTCCAACCCCTCTTGATCTACAAGGAGAATTTATACCGGTTGACGCTTCCTCTTTCTATACAAAGGCCGACTACCTTATGCGCTTCTCACCTTTCACACTGCATCTGAGTGCGAGTTTGCCAAGACCTTTTTCTTCACTTTCGATGCGCCATGAAGGCATTTGCAGCGAGGGGGTGAACATCACAAGACTGACAAAGCAAAGGGCAGGCGCCGCTGACGTTGACGATGAATGTTTGAAGTGGACTTTCTGACAACGCCCCCTTCACGTTCTGCAGGTTCCTGGACGCTTTGCTCTTTCTCGCTAAGGCCCCCCTGGAGCAGCACTCCTGGTGCCAGTTCAGCGACCTATCGTCCCTGGCGTTGGAAAGCTTCTACCACTACTACAGCAACCCCAATCAGGCCCTCAGTCTGGTGTGGCAGCGGTGGTGTCAAGAGCTGCGCAGCTGCGACTCGTGCGTCCATACGTACCAAAGGTGAGAGCCAGAGGGCCTCTGATGGTCAGGAAAGGCTGCACGGAATTGTTATCGTCAAAGTGATGTTCTTTTCCCACTTGTTTCCATCCTGAATGACGTGGCATTTGATCATCTTTGTGGTAGAGGGGAGATAGAGAGCCTTTCAAAGCTGGCTAGTCTTGCTTCTGGAGGGAGAGCCACTGAGACCATCAAAGGGATTGCCCAGTCACCAACTCTGATGCTCATCATCAAAGTTGCTGTGCTTCATCTCAACAATATGTGCAACTTCGAAAAATCCTCATTCGGGAGAAGCTGACAATCTCCGTGCGGTCTTGAAAAGAGCTGGTTTTATGGGATCCGCTTATTGAATGCTTCCGACATCTCGTCAACGCCTTTTGACTTGTCTTCAATCTTAAGGGCAAGCTGTTATTCTCAGACGACACTGAGCTGCTCTCATCACAATCTGAGAAATTGCCGAGCAGTCTCTTAAAACATGTTGCGACAAGTCCAGAAAGATGGGAGTCCTGTCACCGAGGAGCTGTTCCTCCGAAAGCAGTCGTTGCAAACTCACAAGCTTTGTCTCCCGTTACAACTTTGTTCCGCTTCACTATGTTCCAACGGATTGCAAGTGTCTGCTCCGAGGAAGAATAAGAGAGGAGTTCCATGGGCCCCCTGCTACGAAGAAACTGATGTCTGTCCGAAAAAGCGACCATTAGAAAGTCACACTTTCTTGAACTTGGTATCCAGATCCGATTCTGGCTTCTCTTTGCCACGTCCTGACGACTTACGTCAAATTCTTGCAGGTTCAAGGAGGAAATTAGGGAGGGCATCAATGAGGCCCTGCCATGGAGAATCTCTTACTCTGTCCAGAAAAGCGACTGCTGAAGAGGCACAATCGTTGTCAACCTGATACGACTTTGAGCCGCTCTCACCACGTTCTGATACCTTGAGATTCTACCCAAAATCAATTCAGACCATTCTTCATTTCGGCGCAGGTCCAAAGAGGAATTGAGGGATGCGTTCGATGGGGGCCCTGCCAAACGAAGAGCTATTCTCCGTCCTGAACAGTGAATGCTGAAGCGTTGCAGCTTCCATTTCTTGTACTTCAACGATTAGCTGCTCTCATCACGTTTGATGATAAGCATGATTGTCGCAGGTCGGAAGGAGGGCTTTAGGGACGAGGTACGTGGGGAGCTTGCCTCGGAGGAGCTGTCCTCGGTCTCGGGAGGCGACTGCTGAACGGTCACGACTACCGAAATCAGTGTTCAGAAACGAGTTTGTGCTTGTTTTCACAACATCTTGACGAGTTACATCAAACCGTTGCAGGTCCAAGGAGGAACCCAAGTGAGGCGTTTGACGGGGGCGCTGCCACAGAGGAGCTCCGTTTTGTCCAGAAAAGCGATTGCTGAAAACTCACAGCCGGATACTTCTTTCAGCTGCTCTCCTCACGTTTTGATGAACCTTAAATTGTTTAACCATTCTCTATACTTTGTCACAGGTCCAAGGAGGAACTCAGAGAAGAGTTCGATGGGGGCCCTGCGACAGAGGAGCTGTTCTCCGTCCTGGACCGTCTCGACCAGGAGAGGGTGTCGCAGCAGCTGAAAGAGATCAAGGCGCTGTTTGAAGCCGGCAACTACGACCCTGAGCAATCGGCAGACCTGATCTTCCCAACCATTTATGAGGTACCTCGCTCTTGACCACGGCTGATTCTAGTTATTCTGAGTGCTGCCAAAGCCGTTGTAAAGTTGTGAGGGCGAGCATGCGGTTATGTGGACGTTTTGAGGTGCTCAAAACGGATATGCTCGGGGATCAATAAGTAGGAACGCGTGTCTGTTCATGCGGAGATGGTAGTGGGGCGCTGTATGGAAAGACATGAGCAGACTTCAAGCGTCGACCTACGGCCTGGGCTGGAGTGGACTCGTGGTCTGACGAATCATGAGGAAATGTGGCGGAGTCCGTGTAGGGCCATCTAACAAGAACATTAAGCGCGCCCGGCTAAGTGATGCCTATCGCTTCGAGTTTATTAGCGCAGCAAACAACGGAGTCTGGGTAGGGGCTTCTTACAGACGGAAAGACGCGTCCCGACCAATGTCTTCTTCTCTCTAGGTGCTCAATTACCCTGCAATCCTAGGAGATGCAGAAATGGACCGACAAACCAACACGTACAAAGCCAAGATTAAAATCAATACTAAAAATGCAGCTCAACGGACTGAATAGTGTAAATATTTAGGTGCTCAATGACCCTGCGATCCTGGAGGATGCAGAGGTAGACCGACTTGTGGCCCCGGTTCTGTGCTTTCCCATACCCGAAGCCGAAGTCAAACACTTATCTGGGATTTACGCGGCAATTGACGGACCATCATTGTGTCTTTTTCCAGGTGCTCAACTACTCTGCAGTCCTAGAAGACGCAGAGGTGGACCGACTTGTGGACCCAGTTCTGTCGTTCATAATCCAAGCCAGAACAAGCGCTTTTCTACTAGTGCAGCAAGCAACGGACTGACCAGTACATCCTCTCTCCAGGTGCTCAACTATCCTGCGATCCTAGAAGACGCAGAGGTGGACCGACTTGTGGCCCCCGTTCTGTCGTTCATGGACCAAGTACACGCTATCTCGATCGGGGAGTACCGACCGGCGGGCATCTACTCGCTGCTGTTCCATAACAGCCCCGAAGGGCGGGCAGTCGCGACGCGCCTCGCAAAGACGACTCCTCCGTTCAGGTAAGTCAGTGAGTGTGTGAGATTTGGAGGGACTTGTCAGTACTAACGATTGAACGACTTTCAAGTATTGTAACCGGTCCTCAGACTGACCTGGTTCCTTTGGGGATGTCGAGTCAAAAAACCTTCTTTGCTGGAACTTCAAAAACCTCGGCCCAAGGTGCTCGACTGGGAGGTAAACATAAATGGCCGAACCTGCATACGCCAGAGTCCCGTCTTCCGACTCTTTTGCAAGTTATATACAGCTTCTATCGTCCCACAGACGTCCCTTTTCCGTTCTTGCAAGGACGGCCAAATGTAGGAAAGGGCTCCGAAAACCAGTTCAAGTGAGGAGGGACCCCCAATCTTCCTCTGCGGGCGTGGCCAGGAAGTGGAGGCCGTCCGTCGGATCCTGCTTCGTGAACTTAATTGAGTTCCTGAAGGCGGCTCGAAAAAGGCCAACGGCAAATGAAATTTGTGTCAAGAAAGAAAACGTTGCTCGAACAGGGGCGATGATATTCTGCCTGCAGGGATGGCCAGGAACTGGAGATTGTCCAACCGATCCTGCACCGCAAGGTTGCACTCCTGCAACAGCTGGCGGGCTCGGCGGCCATCCACGTGGATGGCGGAGGACAGCTGCCAGAAGAGAAGCTGGCTATCTTTGGCGGTCGGCCCGCACGCCCGACTCGAGTCCAGGAGCACCTCCCACTGTGGTTGGGACTTTCGACTTTGTAAGTGGACTCATTGGAGTTTATCAACTGGTTCTTTTGGGTCACAGTTTGCGTGTTTAGAAAAAAGCCGTCGACAGCAGAATCTAGGTGATATGTTTTTATGCTTATAAGCAGAAAGATAGCAGGATCTAGGATCTCTATTTTTAGCTTGTAACTAGAGAGATAACGCAACGAGTTAACTCTTCCTACAAGTCTTACACTGTCGGTCAAGTTTTGCATCATGACTGCGAGACAAGACGATTTCAAAGTCTGTCGTCGCATCCGAACATCTCAACCAGCAACCGGAGAAGCCGTTTTGATGACTGTAGTGAAGGACTGACCGTCCCGAATCTGCTTATAGATCATAAAGAGATTCAACAATCTCTATTTTGTTTGCAGCCTGGAGTTGCTCGAGCCAGCCGCGATGCTTGGAGGCCTGGTGGAGCGTCACCCTGACGTCGTCAGCACTGTCCTTAACCAGGCGAGCGAACCCGGAAACCCCGCCTTCAACGTCGCGCTCAAGTGCCTCAAGCTGCTCTTCCAGGGAGTTGGTAAGTGATAGTTTGCACTCGTTCCATGTTGTTGTTATAGAAACAGCTTGTCGGGATCAAGTGCTTTGTCGATAAGCCTTTGTCAGGGGTGTTAGTAAGCTGAGCGACCGTACGTGCGGTAAGCAGATAGAGGAGTTGTCTGTGCTGAGCCAGGGCACTGGTAACACAAATGAAGAAGCGGGTTCCGATGGTCGTTAAGCAGACAGGCAAGCCCTTGTCTTTGAACGGGCCATCCATGACCAAGAGCTGTTGTATCGCCGCTTACTGGCAAGCAGACAGGGTGAGAAGTTGAGCACGTCTAGCTCTCATTCCGTCGATGGATGAGCGCGCTGTCGAAGACCTTCCAGATTATTCTAACAGCAACCGAGCAGCCTATGTTATGAGGTCTCTCTTGCGCTGACTCTCCTACTATTCCTAAAAGAAGCTGCTGCTGAGAAAGTACCTTTGCTGTCGTGGGCAGGTTACCGACTGTGGTGGGACACCGACTTTACCCCAAAGGTTGTGCGTTCCACCCTCGTGAGCCACTGCAACACCAGCCGCAAGGAGAACCTGCACCTCACTATCTTCCAGCTCTTCGAGCCGTTCCTGCAGGTTAGGGAAGCGACACTCTGGTAACCCACTTGCAATCATCTGGAGCTCTTTCCGAACGGTTCTCCACTTGTTTGCGAAATCAGTCGTTCGACTGGATGCGGAAATGCAAAATACCGTTTGACGCATGATGGTGCGCTGGGTGGCTTGAATGGTAAAGTGGCGCTGATGCAGGTCTTTCGTTGGTGACAGCTGTGCTCGAATCGGGATTTGAGATTGACAGAGAAGGTTGCGTCACCTTCCTGCCTTAAAAAGGCATTCCTTTGTGTTCCTTCGTCTCTTTTGTCTTCTTGTGGCGTGCTGGCAATCTACCTCTTTCGTTCGTGTTTGCGAACAATGGCAGATAGCGGAGGCGATTGAACATCGGACGCTGTAAAATTCAGACGCTTTGAACAGTTTGCGGTTGTTTGCAGTCCTTGGAAGTGGATCGGAACACGAGCGACGAGTTCTACGACGAGCGGGAAACGCTGCTGAAGTTTCTGACGAAGCAGGTCGCCAACAGCGCTAGTTTCTCGGGCGTGGTGAAGAGCAAGGGGCTTGAGGTAAGATGGGCCTTGCCTCTCTCCGAGCCACATCCGCTCTTTCCACATAAAGTCAAGGAGATGAAGGAGACCGCCACTGGATATGGGTGGCTGTGATGTGTTCGCTTGCATTGTTACGATTTCTTTCAGCGAAAGTTCAACTGCTCTTGGTGTTTGAATGCATCAGCACGTTGTCCCCGGTAAGTCGCAAGAATGGCACTCAGCTTGACATTTGAAAGAAGGTCCACTTCCGTAGTGTATGTGCTCCTTGAAGAGTCGTCTTTCAACTCCTGCCTTCATCAAGCGTGCCTGATCGACAGTATCGTTAGTCTTCAAGCTGCCTGTTGCTGCAGTTAGAAACCTGGTCATCCAGGCCTTCGACCATTGTCGAAGTATACTCAGACTGGAGAAGATGACGTTTTAAGTACATCATCATCAGACCATCTTGTATGTTCCCCGCAGGTCGCGTTCCGCATCATCCAGAGAGGCTACACGCTTGTCCCCCCTATGCCACCAAGCGACCTCACTCCCTTCTGGGCCCCCCCTTTGGTCGCCTCGCTCAACAACCCCGCCACACAAGAAACCCTCCGGACACAGGCTGTCGAGCTCATGTCTACCATCGTCGTTTTCGACTCGTCCGCACTCTGCTCGGCCGTTTTCCCACCAGCGCCCGGTTTCTCCGGGGCTTCCGACTTAGTCGCTTACCTTCCCGGCTCAAACGCTACCCTAGGCCCGCAGCCCAGCTCCGGCCAGGAACCTCTAGAGGTTCTCGAGGGCCAGCCCGCGGAATCCGGCTGGGGTGCGGAGTGGGCCACTCTAGAAACCGCGGCCGGCAGCTACGCCAAAGAGCACTTCCACCCTCCCGCGCTCTGGCAGGCCCTGTTTCTGGCTGCGCCGCCGGTTAACTTTCCGGGTTTGCTAACCAAGGCCGTTCTCTGGGCTGCCACAAGACTGGCGCTCCTGGAGGAGGCGGTTGGGTTGAACCCTGACCAGACTGCAGCGGATGGCGCCAAAGACTGGCCCTTCGTCGTGGTTGAGAACGATGGGAAGAAGGTGTCGAACGTCGTGGAAGCTTCTAGGGAAGGTCGGAAAGACCTGGTGGTGTTGTACAGAAGGTGAGGACTGAAGTTTTTTAAGCTCGCCTTTCAGAGATGCAGATTGTGCCTGCTAGCCTCTCATAATTCTCTACCTGCTCTCTTCTTCTTCTTGTATCTTTCCATATACCTTTTCTGTTCTCATTCTCGCTTTTTGTCCGTTGGAGGCTGTCCCGCTTTGCCCGTTCTGTAGTGTTCGTGTTCCATTTGTACCATGTCCGTTTGAAACATGCTATCATTTCGAAACGGTCAGGATACACACTTACGTGATGAGCGTGACTAATTCTCGTCAAATCCATGAAAGCGGACTTGAAAGGAAGGACTTTCGAGTTACCCTGCGGTTGTAAGGCATCTCGTGGCACAGCAGCCTTTTCAGCACGATAGGAGAGGATCTCAGTTGAACAATCGCCGTCCAACACTTACTCCGTAATAACCTTGAGCAGTTTTGGGTGCTTCAAAGTCAAGCTCAGTGTCGCAATTTCTTTTCTCTGATGTTGTTGGTCAGGGGGAGTATCGATTTACTCTCCTTTCAAATCCTGAAAAACTTTCAACCATACAGTCAGCACATTCAATGTTAGACAGGAGACTCTATCATGCGCGCAGGTGTACGGCGGCATATCTGGACCACCTCCGACAGCGATCTGTGGATGGTGACGTGGCGGTTTTGCAGGCCCTCGAGTGGGAGACCTGGATTGCCGAGAGTCTAATCATCCTTCTCCTTGATCCCACTGCAGTGAGTTTGACTTCGCTTTCTTCTTCTACAACCTTAGCGCAGCGCTGTCTCTGTGATGTCAGAAGTTTCAAGGGCTCCATTTGCTTGCTGGCTGCGAAAAGCACGTTGATGGGTGCTTTGATCTTTTCTACCCCTTGTAAAACTGCACGGATCAGCCTCTCGCTTAAGGCAGAAGTTCAAAGCACGTCTTTAATATGCTCAAACGTATGACATTCTTTTCGGCAACTTCGTACGTTGATGGAACGGCGTAGATCGTGTAGATCATCTGGCTGCAAGACTCTACCACCTGGCTCCCGCTGTAAACGGATGGACTGCGCTAACTGCCGGAACGAACTTGGATGCGTGCAGCTCATCCGGAATGCGGACCGGGAAGTTTTGAAGTACTTCACAGCGGACGCAACTTTGGACGGGGGCCTGCGGACCCTGTGTGCGGACGCCCCTGCCGCACGCGCCGTCAGCGAGGGGATCTTCAAGGCGTCAGAAAAGGTGAGCTGCCCACAACCGACTCGAATGAAGGGTTTACTGCAGGGCCAGATAGGGACTTTCCTATTTCGAGTGGGTTCGCTAGCCTTGGTACTTGCGTTGGCCCCAGTATGCCCCCAGTATGCGTTCAGAAGGATACCTGGCCCGTCCTCCGGTAAGCCGATGGGTCGGACGTTCCTTCACCTTGTTAGCGTTCGGTTTGCAAGCAATTCGACTCTTGAAGCATAGCGTCCGGATTCCGCTTCGTCAAACCCAGCTGCTTTTGGGCGGCTCCTCACAAAAGCCGTTCAGGGAGAGTATCAAGAAACTAGAGGGCGGACTTTTGATCTCCTCCCTTGAAGCGGTGCCTGTTCGCGACCTTCGTTTCTGATAAGCTGCGAATGGCCAGATTCCACTAGAATCGCCTTGCTTGAAGCTCTCTCAGCGCTCCTACGTTTCTGTGCAGCTCCTACACATGGGCTTCCCCAAATGCTCGCGGGGCTCCCAACTCCTGTGCTTCTACGCCTCGAAGCTGCTGCGAATCAACTCCTCCAACGAGCAAGACGCTGCCGAAGGCTCCACGGAACACGTGACGCTTTGGGCGATTGCGTGTGCGCGAATCGCAGAGGGCCTATGGCCGCTGCTCCTGCGGGTCCTTGAAGGAAGTCGACCCGCAGCTGAAAGCTTTGAGGTGCGTGATCCGCTTGTTGACACATCAATCCGACTACGTCCGCAGGTCAAGGCACGGTTTAGGACACGGGTCCGCACCGAAAAACGTCTCCTTTTAGCCTCGCTTGTGTCTTACTCCAATCAGCGAGTACTATTGTCTGACGACTGCTTTTGAATTCGTGTCAACTCATTACAATCGGGGTCTTGAATCAGCCTCAGTAGTCTCTTGAAGTTCTCAGTTTGTGGTCGATTCGTAGATTGTCGTCAAGTCAGTCCTTCCTCTTTGCCAGATTGCTTGATGAACCTGTGCAGTGACTATCTTAAACTGTTCGTTCTTCAGAATATTGTGAAAGCAGTTAGTCTTAGTTGAGGTGGTACATCTCTCAAGGAAGTCTTGATTCTCCAATAACGCCTTGCATCCCAGCCACGAAGCCATGACTTCTGGAAACACTTTTCAAAGATGACTTCTTCACATCCGACTAGTTGACTGCTTTAACCACCAGCCTATAATAGTCTTGTTGTCAACGCTCATTAACATTTCCATCCGATCGCTCAAATAAGAACCATAGAAGGGCACGCCTTTCCCTTATCCAAAAGCGGCTTCGCTTCTGAACCCCCGACCCGTCTCCACACCAAACAGCCGGGCCCCACCGCCCAGGGCTTGCTCCCGGTTGCCGACTACCTCATTAGCGCGTCCCTTTTCCAGAGGCTGATAGTCCACGTGTTCGAGGCCTTCGTGGCCACGTGGCCGTTCATCCGCCACCGGGCACTTCCCGGGGCGGCGCTCGGGCGCCCCAGCGTCCGCGGTGACGTCAGCACACCGGGCGCCGCTGACGTCAGCAGCCCGGTCAGGGCCAGGGGTGACGTCAGCAGGGCGCCCGGTTTCGGGTCCCCGGCCAGGACGCCCTCGGTGTTTGACCTGGTCGAGGGCGGCCGGTTGAAGCCCCCGGGGCATCAGGGCGACGAGTGGCTGGTGGATTTTGTGAAGTGGGGGGACGTGACCCGGCCCGCGGTGCGGCGGCGATGGATGGAGTGCATTGAACTGGTGGGGTGTGAGATGGTGGACGCGGGAGCAAGGCTGCCGGCGGCGGCGAGGGGCGTCGTTCGAGATCTTCTTGCGCCGAGTGAGTGTCAGGTTGCAAACAGTGTTGAGAGAAATGTCAAGCACAGCCTCTTCACTCGCTTCGCTTTGTAGCTTTTCCGTCTTTCTTTCACACTGTTCGTAGAAAGCGTTGATCCAAGATGGCAGCTCTGTGTGCTTTCAGAACGCGCAAACCTTGCAAAGCGGGGGAGCTGTATCTTTCGAAGAAGAGAATTGTGTCTTCTGTAGGCCTATTGATATATTGATTCTGTTGCTCATATGGCACTCCGCGTTCGAATAGGAGTTGTTGACGGTTGGAGCGGTTTCTTGCGTCGAATCAGAACATGCCGCTAGCAGAATCTCAACAGCTGGTGCTCAAACTGCAAAAGCACATCTGTTTTGAGCGCCCCATACCCCGCGCATCCCCTGCTCCGTCATCTTTGCTGAGTGTTCGCCTTCGAGAGAAATATTTAGCAATCCAAGTTCATAAGTCCGAATCTCTAAAATTTCAAAGTCGGAAACCCGAAATTCTGACCCTCTCGCCGTCTTTCCGCGCAGCTTCGAGCCTCTCCGACGAGCAACGCCTGGTCCTTTCCCAGTTCTTCCCCCACGAAGCCCCGGGCAACCTCGGCCAAAGCGCTCTCGACTCGTTACCCTCCCGCCCCGCCCACGCATCGCCCCCCAAACCGGCCTTCCCGTTACGCCAACCCTCGTTCGAAACCCCACCCCGCAGCAAAGCCCCCACCGCATCCCAGTCGCGGCTCACGACCAGTTTCCTCGAGGGGGGCTCGCCGCCAGCTCCAGCAGGGTTCTTCCAGCCCCCCCCCACGGCGGTGCCGCCAAAATCCCCCGCTATCGTCATCGATCTGGAGGAGGACGATCAGCCGCTCAGCCTCCGGAGAAAGGAAGCCCCGCGGGCTGGGAATTCGCGACGGCCGATCGACCTCGAAACCGAGTCGGATTCGAAATCGAAAAGTAGATCAGATACAAAAACTTTCGTGCGGACGCCCGCTCAGACGCAGTCGGCGGAGGCGTCAACGAGCGGTCGCGAAAGCGCGGATAAAGAGGCGTCGAAGATGGCCGCGTCTTTGGCCGCGTTTGCAAACCGGGCTTCTAGTAGACCCTCCCCTTGGAGCCGCAACTCCGACACCCCGGGGGGGTCGAGGAGTGCTGCGACGCCAACTAACCGGACCCCACCGGCGCCGAACCGAACGTCGCCAATGTACAGTAAGCGCGCGCCGCCTAGGTACCCCCAGCAGGTTAAGATAGACAGCATGTTGAGTCGGCAGCGGGAGGAGGAAGAACTAGAGCGGGTGTGGGCCGCTGCCGATGGGCTCGGCGGGTTCGGTTCCGCCGGCCCCGGGAAACGGAAAACCGATAGCACGGAAGCGTCACGGAAGCGGGAGAGCGACAGTAAACCTGCACCAGTAAAATCGCCAACCGTTCCAATGGTGCCGGGGGGGTCAGCTCCGCAGCCGGAAAGGCCTACGAACCGGGGGGGTGGAGACGAAGGCAGTTCTGTACATAGTAGGGGGGTCCCCGTGCCTGGCCCGAAAGTGCCACAATTGCGTCCGGCAGCCCCCCGGAAGACGATGAGGATCGAGTTGCCGGGGGAGGGGCAGACGGCGAGCGCCAGGGCGCGCATGCGCAGGTGAGGCAGATGAATATTATGGGGTTGAAGATTGAGGCAGATAAAGCTTCAAGGTTGGTGAGATTGAAGGCCAGATAACCTTGAAAAGCACCATCTCAATGCACCAATACATCATCTGCAGCCCTCCAAAAAAACGCTGGGTGTTGACAAAGGATGGGGCCAATTCTTATGTGAATGGTGGGCCGAAAGGGATGCAGAGGTTGTAGAAAAGACTTGGCCAGTGTTTGAGGTTGGAGAAAGCGTGTCCAAGTCCTTTGACGGATAACAGTAGCTCTTTTAGAGGGCTCGACATTGTAACGGCCACTGCTGTCTCCAAGTGACCCTCTGCCTCACATATGGAATCAGACTGTTGACTCAACCGTTGTGAGGCAGAAGATTTGTGCCCGATCTGACAAACATCCGTCCCACTTCAGGTTTGGGAGCCACGCGCCCCCTGGCCCTCCGCCCAAGCCGGACGACTGGTACAAGAAGATCCTGGCAATGGACTTCTTCAGAGTTGTGGGTACGGAGGATGCAGACGAAGGGCTGGCCAGGCCCCCCAACGAAGGGACTGACCGCCTGGTGCAGGTAAGCCTGCGCATATGTTCGCGTTCTCACAGCTTGCTTTTCAGAGTCGTTTAATCTATCACTTCTGGAATCGAGGCGCCGCTTAAGAGCAGCTACAAAAGGGAGTTGATCTTGAGCCTTTTTGAACGTCTGCGGTTGCAGGGTGGAGACCTTTTCCAGAGCAGGTAATGGCAACGCTTTTCCCGATTGATTGCGTGTCAGAATGCAGGCAGAGGAGAGGCATCTGGGTGCTTTCGCTGCAGGGCTGGCGTCTCAGCCTCTCTATTCCTCACCCTAATTCTCCTACGCTTTGCTTTCCTTACCCCAAATTGCCGCCCAATATGACCAGGTGATCAACGCCGAGTATCCTTTGCGCAGGTGCCCGACAGATTCGAGTCCGCTTCGCAGTACGCCCAGGTGTTCCGCCCGCTGCTCATGGAGGAGTTCAAAGCGCAGCTGCAGAGAGTGCACGACGAGTCGGGGTCGAGCTCTAACTCGGAGGTGAGGTTCTTTTCCCAGGAAACTTGATTGTCTTCTTGTGGACCTGCTTTTTTATTGGAAGAGCCCGCCGAGACGCAGAGCGAAAGAGAACTTCCAAGGATCTTAGCATTGCTCTCATGCCTTCTTCAAGCCGGGGCAGTCGTGAATCTGCTTTTGAAGTCGGAAGGTGAGGATTTGCATGCAAGCACTAGAGGTGGGAGGCTTCGAAAGGAGCAGGGCTTCACAAGCTGGAAACCATTGAGAAATCCCTTCCTTACAAGCTGACTTCAATATCGAAAGAGTAGAACCATAGGTGGCTTCGAGCAGACTGTGACAGTCATTCTGGCCCTTCAAGGTTGTATCCGTGTCCGAATTTTCGATCGAAACCCAACGATTTGTGCTGGGTCAGCCAGTTTCTGCACCTCTGACGCACTCGCTTGATGCTTGACTTAACGATCTTCAAACAGAGACTTCCGTGCACACTCCTAGTATACTCCCTTGCAGATCCAAACCCCGATTGGTTCTGTTCTCTGCAGATGCTGGAGGTTGGGCACTTCAAGCTGCTGAGCCTCGCCCGGCGCGACGACTTTTGGGACGCTAACTTTGTCGCGGGAGAGGACGCGGAGCGGAACGTGCGGGAGTGCAGCGAGCTGGACCTGCTGCTGCTGACGAAGCACGCGCCCTCCAAGGGGGATCCCTCTAGGATCCACGTCTTAGCAAAGGTAATAATGCTCTCTAAGTCGAGTGAGATGAGAGAACCCTATGATGGCAATTTGAAATACGGTCACAAGTCTCGTCAAAAAGCTGACATTAGCAATAAGAATAAAAAGCGTTGCCGTATTTTCATTTTGAGGGCCGTGTCACTTCCAACCGGCAATGAGATGGTCATTCGCCCGACAGTCATCACCACCTTGAAAATCCAGCCGGTATTTCGGCTTCGGCTAAACTTTTTACAAACTTGACATCCATGGAGTAGGCTGTTCAAAGATTGCTGTAAAAACCTGTTCATAAACGTGTAGCTCTGAACATACCAGCAGGCGCAATCAGCACGACATCAAAGGCCAGCCTCGACACTGAACTATTATCGTATTGAAGGTAAAAATGTGAACGGGCTTGGATATCACCTTGAATATCGAAAGCATTGCATCACAGAGAATTTCAACCCTTTCGAATCTGAGAGGCGCGACCAGAACGGCAGCAAGGGCCAGCGGTGGCAGTAAACCGTTTTCTGTACCTGGATCTTTAAAATGGCTTTACGTACCCTCCTGTTAACCCCTCTACGTTCCGCAGGTCGACAGGCGCGACCAGCGCGATAGTAAGGGCCAGCGACGGCAGTGCACGGTTCTGGTGCTGAAGCTGTTTCTGCCCATCAACGAGCCCCGCCTGCTGAAGGTGAAGCAGCTGCTGACGGACGGCTCCAAGTGGCACGCCACCAAGCTCTTCAGCATGGTGCCGCAAATGCGCGAGTTCCAGGTGAGGAGTGGTTTTTGTCTCTGAAATTACGCTTGCTGACGTCACATACGTCAATGAAAGATCAAGTGGCACGCCACCAAGCTCTTCAGCATGGTGCCGCAGATGCGCGAATTCCAGGTGAGGGGAATGGTTTTGTCTTTTTCTTTGTCTTTGTCACCCACGCTTTCTGACGGCATTTGTGACGTCACGTACATTCATGAGAATTCAGGTGGTCAAACTTTGGGCATGTTCAGCATGCTGCCGCGGATGCGCGAGATCAAGGTGAGGGGGATAATTCTGTCTTTCAAGACCCATTCTTGCTTACGTCACGTACGTTCATGAGAGTTCAGGTGGTCAAAGCGTCAGCATATCGAGCACGGTGCCGCTGATGCGCGAGGTCCAGGTCAGGATTGGGCTAGCTGAGCGGCCTTTGTAGGATCTTACTTGATTTTGCACCCGCTGAAGTATTTTCAGAGGCAATGCGGGGTTTGAAGGCAGAGTGTACTGGCGAATCTGACCGACCCCTGGCCGACACGACATTTAAGTAGCAAGCCAATAGGTGAAAAGGAACTCCTGTCACTAACTATTCCAAGGCCCAGATTGTTGGCAGGAGTTCGGGAAGCCATGTTTGCGCTTGCACGAACGCTCTGATCATGAGAAAGTGGCCGGACTCAGGAACGCTTCGCTGATTAATTGGCCCCTTTGCCATCACCTGAAAGCTTCCAACTTCTTGCAAGCCCCTGCTTTCCCTGCGGGTTGCAACTGATTAGTCTGCTGGCAACCCTTTGTGGTGAACTGTGCTGTGCCTCAACCTGTATCTCGGTGAATGCTTACTGGCAACTTGTCTCCCCCCCTGCAGGCCATGTCTGCCTTCCACACACTCCCCATGGTGTCAACCCTCCTCAACCCTTCCTCAGCAAAGCCCCGTTCCAACTCCTCGAACCCTTCCGCCATTAGAAAGCTCCCCGAACCCCTCCAGAAACATCTCCTGAGCCGCTACAACGAGTCCCAGCAGGCTGCAATTGCCTCCGCTACCGATTCAGGGGGGTCGCACAACCAGCGCCTCACTCTCATCCAGGGCCCCCCCGGAACGGGGAAGACGAGCACGATCATGGGCATTCTCAGTGCGTTGTTGAGCGGGCCGGGAGGAAATGTGACAAGAGCCGAGCGTGTTCCGGGAGGGTTAGGGGCTAACCGGCCGGTTAAGGCTCCGGTTAAGCTCAGCGAACGGGAGGAGTCGGCGATCCTGACCGCGCAAGCGCAGAGGGCGTGGCAGCAGGCTGAGGAGGCGAAAGAACTGATGGCCAAGGGAGAGGAAAATGGAAACGGACTTGCCGGGGGGGTGCAATTGGGTGGGGAAGGAGCCCCCCGGATCTTGCTCTGTGCGCAGTCGAACGCGGCGGTGGATGAGCTGGTTGCACGGCTGCTGAAAAGGTGAGATGGACAGCTGATTGATAGGTACGTCGAAAAAGCCTTTGAGGGTCGCATGATAGAGTTTTCAACCCGTGCACGGCTGTATATAGACAGACTGCGGTCCTCTGCTTAATTCATAATCTGAAGGTTGGCAGCTTCTAGGGAAGAGCGGAAAAGTTGCACCATGGATTCCGGGAGCTGAGCTTAGCAGAAGGCGAGGTCAGGACCTTTCAACCACATTCTATCGATTGATAACATTCAACGGAACATGCCGATCAAGTCTACGAAGTAGATTTAAGTTCTGACTTTTTTGCATGAGAGGCTTACGTTCAGCGGTCTTTTAGTGACTGACTTTTAGCTAGCAGCTCAGCCGGCTCCACTCAATCTCATTAGAAACAAGTCGCAGCCCATCTACCCTCCTCTTCGTCCCCGTCAAAGAAGCCGATTACTTTTTTCGTACTTTGGTCGTAACAGTAAATACTTCTATTGCTTATGAGCTCGTGAATCTGCCTGAAGGAGAGGAGGAGAGCTTTGGAATTGCGGCATGGTGCGACAGCCCTTGGACAGTTTAAGGTAGATGATTCTGATAGCAACCTCTCCTTCGCAGCGGCGTATGGGGCGCAGACGGCCTTCCCGTCCGACCAAGCATCGTCCGCATCGGAAACGCCCGCACCATCCATCCCGACAGCCGGCCCGTTCACATCGACACACTCGTGGAAGCTGAGACCCGGTCTCCCTCACCGAGCGATGGTGTGAATAAGCCCGCCTCAGAAGACCAGAAACGGCAGCTGCGGAACTCGCTGGTGAAAATAAGCTCCGAGATGAGCGCCGCCCAGAAGAAGAGTGCGCCGTCGGGGGGGGGTGCGGACGGCCCTGCCGGGGAGGGGGAGGAAAAGTTGAAAAAGACGCTCGACGGGCTGTACCAGAAGCGGAAAGCGGTGCAGTCGGAGATCATTGCGCTCGAGGCCGCGGACCGGAAAACGCGCGAGCAGGAGCGCGCGAAACGGAGCGCCGTCCGGCGGAAGATCCTACGCGACGCGTCGATCGTGGTGACGACGCTGTCGGGGTGTTGGGGGGACGTATACTCGGCGTGTAAGGAGAGCAAGGGGAGCGAGGCTGGGGGCCTGTTCGACGCCGTAATTATCGACGAGGCGGCTCAGGCGCTGGAACCGGCAACACTGATACCGCTGCAGTTGTTGGTGCCCCGTGGGGGGCGGTGTATCATGATTGGGGACCCTAAGCAGCTGCCAGCTACCGTGCTGAGGTAAGTTTCCACTTTGAAGACACTGATGAGCCCATAACACAATCAGCACCTTGGGATCACTGCCGCTACTTCCAAGTTCCATAAGAGTAGCTGCAGAATCTAACGACGAACGGTGTCCTTATTTGGGTCGCTCTTGCAAAACTGAACGGACACCAACCGCAGATCATAAAGCATGGACTTCCAGACAAGCAGTCACTGTCACTTCTGAAGCAGCAGCGTTCAGCTTCAGCAGTGTATTATTCTGCTCTTTTCCATTATCTTCCTTTGTGGATCATCGCATGCTCCCCAAAATCATCAGGTTCTTCTTCACTGGTCTTTGACGGGAGATTTCTTTGGAAACGTCAGCTTCGAGAAACCTGGTTTCTTCATCTGCCGGGAGCAGCTGCCAGCTTCATTTGTCAGCGAGCCTGAGCAGTTGCCTCAGTGGCAGACGTGTCATCTATAAACACCTCGGAAAAAAACTTCCTTCACAAGTATCCTTTTTTCTTGCAGCCGCGCGGCAGCCAACTTCAATTACGAGCGGTCTCTCTTCGAGCGCCTGCAGCGGGGGGGCTTGCCGGTCACTCTGCTCAGCGCCCAGTACCGGATGCACCCGGAGATCCGCCAGTTCCCGTCGGCCCACTTTTATGGGGGCCTTCTGACGGACGGAGAAGGCATCTCCCGGACGTCCAGATTGGTCCCGTTCCACGAGCGTCCGGTGTTCGGTCCGTACGGTAAGTGAGAGTGCGACTATCTTCGTGATCGGTCCGTAAAAGAAGGTAAATGAGGGTATATCAGTGTTGGGACTAGTAAGCTTCCGTGCAGACAGAAAAAGCATCTCCTGGGCGTCTGGAAAGGGTGCGGGTCACGAGCGTCCGGTATTTGGTCCTTAGGTAAGTGAAAGGGTTGCACTGTTTCGGTGTTCGGTAGATAAAGTGAAGAAGAGTGTATCTTTCTTGGTGTCCGGACCGTAGAGGCAATTGGGAATGACACTCCTCCTTTGTTTGGTCTGTGTGGTATGCGAGAATATTAGCAATGTCGGGGCTGATAAGCTCTTTGATTCCGCTAGAGTTGACTGCCTGTGGAGCGCTCTTTCTGGCTCCATCTTAAGGAAACTCGTAAGAAAGGGAACCGCAGCCTCGCGCTCAGTCGAGCATCGCTGCTTGCTTGCATGCTCCATGATCTGCATTTGTGGAGCATGTTTGAACGCAGGGTCGCTCTTCTTTGCGTCGTCAACCAACCAAAAACGTCGTTGCAACCGGCCTCCTCAATTGCAAGGTTTACAGACGCCGTCTATTGAACTTTCTAAGGTTATCCGTGACGAACCGCTCAACTATTTTGATCTTCGTTTTCTTGGATTGATTGGCCGCCAATAACGTTCCCGCCGAGAAGCCTGTACTCTTTTTGCGACGACGAGAAAGCGACGGCCGTTTTGATTTGACCAGAACCTGCATCTTTGAAGGAAAAAGGCAGAAGCTGAACCCAGTAGCCTTGACGTTTTCCCTGCAGTATTCTTCGACGTTGTGGATGGTCAAGAGCGCTCCCGCGGGGGCGCCTCCTCCCTCTCAAACGACGCGGAAGCGACGGCGGTTTTCGAGCTCTACCAGGGTGTGCGGCGATCGTACCCCGGGGAAAACCTCCGGGGGCGGGTTGGCATAATCACCCCGTACAAGCAGCAGCTAGAGGCGCTCAAGAGAAAGTTTCGGGAGGTCATGGGCGACCGGGCGATGCTGGACGTGGAGTTTAACACCGTGGATGGCTTCCAGGTAGGCGGCCGTATGTGAACACGCCCCGCTCTAAGACACGTTAAGCAGATTGACGGATCTGTGTTTGGTGTGAGCTTGTGTCAGGACTCAGTCAGGGACGCGGGCTGAAAAGTCCAGCAAAATTCAGACCTCGCCGACGGCCGCATCAAATTTCAACCACGCGTTCCTGAATCTCGGAGATGACTTCACCCTTTCCGATTCTTTTCGTGCTTCGCACAACGTAATAACAGTGTATATCCCCTCCGACCCTTGCTTGCAATTACAAAGGAGTCATCAGTACAGCGGAGGCAGAGACTTGAGGACCGTTTCAACCCTTGCCACACTTTATTGGTGGCAGGAACTTGGCTTATGGGTCCATCTTTACGACTCAACGAGCCAGCGTATAGTGGTAGATCTGCGCACTTTCGGATCCTGTAAGTCGGTCAGTAACTTAAGATTCTCCTCCCCCGTTTACTCCAGGGCCGTGAAGTGGACGTCCTCATCCTCTCGACCGTCCGCACCGGCGGCATCGGTTTCGTGGCGGACGTCCGCAGAATGAACGTCGCGCTCACGCGCGCCCGCAACTCGCTCTGGATCGTCGGCAATTCCGCCGCCCTCAAGCGGAATCCGCACTGGGCGGCGCTGCTTTCGGACGCCGCCGGAAGGGGCCTTGTTTTCGAGGCGAGGCGCCCGTACTCGGCCCTGTTCACACCTGCTAAAGGAGCTAAGAAGGCCCTGGCGGGGCCCAGTAAGGCGACCGGTGTGAATTTGGGGAGCGACGAGGGGAAGAATGTGAACACGCTCGATGTACAAGTAGGGAGCGGGGGTAAGAAGGGTGAGAAACGGCCGGCAGAGCTTATTCCCCTAGGCCGCAGTAAGAAGCCCAAAACGACGGAAGCCTCGCCATTGAGTGGCGTGAAGCGGAAGCCTGAGGGGGGAAGCCTAGAGATGCCGGTCGCGAAGGCCAGCCGCTCTGATGGTCCGGAAAGCTCTAAGGTTCCCGATGTAAAGTACACGCCCCTCGTGGACGACAGCGAGAAAGCAGAGACAAAAGTTGCAGCTGCGGCCGACTTTCTGAAAGCTGTTGAAACGCCTGTAGCTGCGGTTTCGGGATCTGTTCCAAAAGGCGCTCCAGTCGATCTCTCGAAGGCTCCGAAGAAGAGCATTTTGAAGAACGCTCTGAGCAGGCTCGAAGCGGCGGGGGGTGCGCTTGCCTCGCTGAATCTCCCCCCTGCGCCTACAACCTTTTCAGCAGGAGTCTCCCCAGCAAAGTCAACGCCCGGAAGTGCGGTAGACTCTGTTTTCTCGCGACCTGTAGAGGTTCTCAGGAGCAGTCCCATGAGGCCCGCACCTCTAGAGATTCCCCTGGTTCGGGTGCCTAGTTCGTTGCGTGTTCCTGACCCCGTGATTGGGACTAAACCCGCCTACTCTAGGGACGTATTTACCCCCCCAAACACCAATTCGCAGCAGCAGCCCGCCGGGGGGGTGCCGGAAGCCCCTGACTTGCCCCCTGGTTTTGAACAATTTGCCAAGGTGGATGCTATGGATTTTGATGGGGCGCCCGGATTCCAAAAAAGAGGAGCCGCGAACCCGGCAGCAAAAGGTCCAACGGGGGCTGCAAATCAGAAGCAGGAAATGAGCGTTCTGTTCCAGAACGAACGGATTCCGCGGGAGAGCCTAACGGAACCGCGGAACCGAGAGCTCCCGGAGGAACTTCGGCAGGACAACGACGGAACGAAGGAAGCTCCAACTCCCCGGGGGATAGAGCCAAGAAGGGCGGCGGTGGAAAAGTCAACGGAAGCACGGAACGGAAAGGAAGAAGATGAACGGAAAAGGAAGCAAGCTGAAACGCTGTCGGTGGAGGAGGAAAAGGCGCGGCGAAACCGGGAGAACGCAAAGCGGTACGACGAAGGGAGGCGGCTTGCTGAGAGGATAGCACGGGATGAGCGGCTCCGGAAGGAAAATGAGAGATATGAGCGGCAGGATTCGAAAGGTTTCCGGGAACCAAAGGAAAGGCCTTCGAAAGAGGGAGATCGGCGAGAACGCAGTAGGGAAAGGGGCCACGATACCAGAGGGTCGGAAGTTAGCCCGCGAAAGGTGGGGTCAGAACCTAGTCCCAGAGACAAAGACCGGGATACCAAAGGCAGCTCGAAGAAGGGGTCCTCAATTCTTAGCCCGAGAGAGAGGGCAACGGAAGCGAGTCCCAGAGAGAGGGCTCCGAAACCGAAATCCAGAGCCGGGAAGTCGGAACGAAGTCCGAGAGATGGGAAGTCGGAACCGAGCCCGAGAATGAGTTCCGGATGGATAAGGGATGAAAGGAAGGATCGGGAAAGAGACTCAGAAAGGACAGGCGAGTTGTCCCGGTCTGATTCGTGGAAGCGCGACGAGAGAAGCCGGGAGAAAGAGGACGGGATAAGATCGAGTCGGGATGCACCCAGGGAGATAGTCCGAGCCAGGGGTAGCGACCGCGAAAGAAGTCGGGAGAAGTCAAGAGACCGAGGGACCGACCAACGAAGCAGGTCGGTAGACGAGAGCCCGGGCAGACGGGGGCGCCAAGAAAGGGACCGGGAAGGGCCCCCAGGAAAGAGTCCGAGAGCTCGGGATGACGGTGAAAGAGCGCCAAAGGATCTCGGGACGAAGGGAAGGGCGTCGGTTGAGAGAAGCCCACGAGGGAGCGGGAAAGAGAGCAGAAGTCGGGAGGTGAGCCCAAAAGGACGTCGGAAGGAAGAGAAAAGCCAGGAGAGTTTAAAAAGTGCCAAGGACGAGTCGGGATCGGGAGGGCAAAAGTCTGAGGGGTCAGTAGCCGTTGAGGAGAAGGCGAAAGTTTCAGAAGGTCTCAGCAGTGCTTTGAAGACGGATGGGGTAGCGGGGACTTCGGGCTTGCGTTCCGCAGTTCAAGCGCGTGCGGAAGGGAATTTTGCCGCAAACCAAGGCGTGGGTGCGCCGGGTAGAGAGGGGTTACCAACTGCTGAGAGAGGTTTAGGAGCTAACCCAAAAAGTGGTGATTCCGCAACGAAAGATAAACCTAGGCCGGCGGATGACACGCAAGGGGGGCGGAGGGAAGAAGACGCGTCCAGAGGAGAGCAGCCGGACAGGCGCCAAAGTGGAGAGGGTTCGCAGAGGGGGTTGGATCGGGAAGATAAGGGCCCAAGTAAAAGTGGAGGATCTCGGAATTACTCAGGAGAACGCCTCGGTGGCGACTCAAGGGACGCGAGGCGAAGCCCAGAGCCGGACAGCCGGACAAAGCCGATCCCGTGCCGCTACTTTCCGAAGTGCGACAAAGGCGATGCGTGCAGGTTCGCGCACGTGCAAGGCTCCAAGCCCTGTCGGTTCTTCCTCATGGGGAAGTGCCGCGAGGGCGAGGCGTGCCGATTTGCACACCCCCGGGGGGAGGAACCGGGCGAGCTTAAGGCAATCAGACGGGAGCCACCGAAGGGGCGTGCCGAAGAGAAGGCGGCAGTCACTGCGGATGACTCCGAACGGAAGCAAGAGGGCGAGTCTCGGAGCCTCAAGTCGCGCTCTCTAGAGAAAGCGAACAGCTTGGGAGCTGCAACGAGCGAATTGGTGGAGCCCGTTTCTAAGCAAGAGACTGCGGCCCAAGCGGGGCAAACGAAGATGCCGGAAGCCGTTGGCAATGCGGGAACGGCGGCTCCAAAAGAGAAGCCGGTACCCACCGGAACGGTACCCACCAAGGCGAATGACGTGTCCGCCCTTGCCGAGCGGAAACGGCTCCGGGAGGAAGCGGCGGCGCTCATGCCCGCGGGCGCGTTCCGGTCCCAAAGCGCGCGCCTCGCGCCGGCGAGCGTGCAGACGGCATATGCTATGCCCCGGTCGTCGTCGGATATCGGCCGCCGGAAGACGCTGCCCTTGGAGGAGACTAGAATCCGTGGTGGGACACATGGCGAGCTGCCGGAGATGGAGGAGGGGGAGGTGCGGGTTGCAGAGGAACCAGGCGTTAAGGAGGCGGGGGAACTGAGTCCAGCGGGTGGCGTTCCCCCGGTCAGAGGCGCCGGTCAAGGGATCCCCCCGGGGCGAGCGCCTGTTCATGCCCGGCTAAGTCTGCCGGGTTCTCGGGTTGAGAGCCAACGGGACGGGGAAATGAGTCCGGGTATGAGGCGGCAACCGGTTGTAGAGAGGCTCGGACCGGGCGGGCTGGAGGCACGAATGGAGGAAGAGAGGATGAGGTTCGAGGAAATGCGGAGAATGGCGATGAGAGAGGATATGCATAGGGAAGGTGGAAGAAGGCAGGAGATCATGTTTGAAGAAGCGAGGAGAGGCGAGATGATGGGCGCGTTTGGAGGCGGTAGGGAAATGCTTGTGAGGGATGAGCGAGAAATGATGTTGGAAGGCCGTGAGACCGTGTTGCGGGATGAAAGGGAGGTGATGCAGCAGGGACGTAGGGAGGTGATGATGCAAGGCGCAAGGATGCTGGACGACGAAAGGATGGTTCTGCGGGACGAGAGAGATTTTCAGGGCTCTCCTCGGGATTTGCAGCCGGACCTAAGGGAGCTCCTTCGTCGACGAAACGCTCAAGGAATTCCCGGTGCCCAAGGTGGTAACAATAGACCGATCTCTGAGAGGCTTTTGGGAGGACCATTCTCAAAAAGAAACATGTGACCCAAGGATATGTGCATGGAAGCAATAAAGTCAAGGGAGCTGGATTCGGTCCAAGACACTTTTCAATAAGTCATGGAACTTAAGCTTTGACTTGTCGGATGCTCCACGTTCACGAAAGCAATCAAGTTCGCTGCCAGCACACATTTTTGTTATTGAATGATCAACGACATGCATCTTTAAGTTACTCTTCCGTTTTCAATGACGGAGCTCTTTAGTGTAGGTACCGGCCGCGGCCGGGCGGCTGTGCATGTGCCGGGTTTTACTATAAGCGCTACGGGGTAGATGCGTGCATGCACATGCTGGCATTGATTAATGTGGCCGGCGCCGCTGCGGCCCGCGGCCCCCACCTATGTGCATCATATATCACGTCATATACATGGTCGAATGCCATTATCCTGTCGAACTTATAGAAAAGGAATCGATCGACAGCCAGCGGCATTGCTAGCTAGGCGGCTGCAGCTTGCCGCGCAGACTCAGAGATGGGGACAGCCCGCCCATGTCGGCTCAACTTTTGATGCGATTGACTGCATGTTGATTGCTAAAGTTGTTTGACTTTATATACCCAGTAATTTAATTAAGCCATGCCAGACAGGGTAGCATGCTTGTAGCCCTACTCTTGTGATAAAACATGCTGCTTTGTTGTTAGTAACTAGAATATAACGTTTCTTTATGAAGCCCGAACCCCGAAATTGCTTGTTTCTACGCCATGGGCCCAGGTTCCTAAGCGTGTATTAAAAGAAATGACCATTGAGTCCTGCATGTATACAATTTTTGCGTGATCCAACGATACGCAAAGAACCAATTGATCAATTAAGCGTGATCACGTCTGACCGGCGGCCGCGGCTGGTGCCGCGCATGACTGAGTGCTCGCGACGTACATGAGACATGCCATTCATCACTGATATGCAATCCGACAACTTCCGTATACCATATACTAGCACAGAGATGCCCGCGTCGCAGCTATCGTACTTGCGCACGTTTAGTACAGTCGTCGAATCACGCACTGCGGTGTGGTCACGTGCAACCGTCTTGGTCACATGATCGAAATGATTACTATCTGTCGTAGTTTAGTCACGTTGTTTTGCAGTCGGACTGATCGGTTTAAAGTGAAGTTTCTTGGCAATCAAGGTCGTATGATCAATCGATACTTGCATGTACGGTACTCGACGTCGGACACATGAAGCTGGGTAGCCTGATGTCATGGTCCAACTCAGTCGATTCACTATACAATATGCACAGCATATCGACGAGCAAGCTCTTGAGAGGACGGGTCTCCTTGTAAATCCAGATGGTTTGCAACCTTACGGGCGGCAAGGACTCAGCTACGTTTAGCCCCATCTCAATGATTCTATATTTAAGTCCCGTGTAGTACACCCAATTTAAAGCGAAATACATCAATCCCAACAAATTGAGTCCTACGTTTCTACGTAACTCCCATTCATCAATCAACCCAAGACGTAAGCAACGTACTTCGGATCACATGAAGATAAGTATGCGGTAGCAAGTTCGCAAATCGGTGTATGAAGCATACTTACCTATGACCTTGACTTTGTTCTATGGAAACACAACGGGTCGCTTTTTGTCAACTTCCCGACAGCTATCGTGGTGTGACAAATCTGGAAGCTACTAGAATCGTACTCTCTGCGGACGCCTGAAAGCTCCTTGAATCGGCCTCGAAGGGCATGTCACTAGTGACGTCTGTGTACTCTGAGTCCGGCCCCCAACTCTCACCATCAAAGCTGGCCGCGACCTCGGTTGTTGCGAGACCCACAAGTAGCGAGCTGACCGCTTGCATGCTCGGCCTTGTCGAGGGATCCCTTCGCAAGCAGAATGTTGCAATCTGAATCAGGCGCTGCGCTTCCTCCAAATCGTAGTTGCCGTTGAGCCGGGGATCAACAAGGTCCGGCACTCTGCCCTCTTTAAGATGTCTAAGAGCAACCTCAGTGAGCCGCTCAACTACCCCGCTCTCGTCTTGCCGTATAACCTGGCGCCCGCTCACAATCTCGAGGAGCAGAACTCCGAAGCTGTAGACATCACATTTTCGGGTCAAAAACTTCGCCCCACCGTGAAGATACTCTGGTGCCATGTATGATACCGTGCCTTTTACCATAGTTGACGTCTGTCCTCCCAAATCCTGCACAAGGTGCGCGAGCCCAAAATCTGCTATGCACGCCTCCATATTGTCTGCCTCAGCCAGCAATATGTTGGCAGCTTTAATATCTCTGTGCAGCATGGGCGGCGACAGGTCGTGATGAAGGTAGGTCAAGCCCCGGCAGATGTCGCGTGCGACACCTACTCGCTCCACCCAAGACAAAACGAAGGAGGCCTCGAGAGGATGGTGGAGGCGGTCGCTCAAGCTGCCCCTAGAAAAGAACGGGAACACAAGGAGCCGCTCACCCCCTTCCATGCATACCCCCAACAGCGGCACCAAGTTCTTGTGCCGAACACTGGCCAGGGCCTTGATCTCCGTGTTCCAGGACCTTTCCTCGATGACCCTGCGGCCGGGCCTCTTCTCCAACCGCTTCACAGCAACCACTGACCCGTCCGGAAGGACTGCCTTGTATATCACTCCGAAAGAACCCTTACCAATGATATTGGCTTCTGAAAAGTTTTCGGTGGCCGCCTTGAGATGTTTCAACTTGAAGACCGACTGCAAGTTGGAATTTGACAAGGGCAGGAAGGCCTGGGCGCCGGCTCTACCAGGATCTTTGCTTCCAAGTTCTGATCCTGACGTCTCCGTGTGCTTTCGACGTGCAATAAAGCAACGGCTTTTGCTCAACGTTGACGAAAAGGACAAAACCACCAGAAGGAATAAGACTTCGCCTGAAGACCAGGATTCCTTTGCTAGATAAAGCCCTTTTCAACCGTTTCTCACATCCTGGTGAACATACTTCTTGTAAAATCCGCCATCTCTCTCAATAAAGAAATGGGACGGCTATTCACTTCTCTCTCTTTCAGATTCTGAACTTGACACAACTACTTAGAGCAGCCCATGGTGACAGTCAGAGGAGGTGGATTGTTTCTTTGCTAGACGGTAATCAACATTCAAGATCCTCACCGGCTGCAAAATGCTGTTGAAAATGACCCCCTTTTGAAGAGCAAGAGAGGAAGTGCCGTCGATACCAGTAGGGGCATTCCCGATGGGTGCGCTAAAGGGATTGGCGCTAAACGTCGCAACACAGAGGATAGGTTCCTGGTATTGAATAACCCCAATCATCGGGAGTGCGACGATGGCTGCGTCGGGGGGCAACATCACATTCTGTATGCATTGAAGGATAAGATCAGAGCCTCGAACTTCAAGAGTTTCTTGGAGCCATTATGCACCAAGGCACTCACAAGAGACAGTGATGGCAACCAACAGAACCGCCCTATGACTCGAGTCTTGCTTGAATGACTCTGGCGAATAGGTTACAAGCAGGCAACCTTTTGACATCAGCAGTGCCGGCAATTTTGTAAAGCATGCTATTGGGTGCTTCGCATAAGCATGCTAGAAATGAAGAGAGCTGGAGCTCACCGTCCACGTTGCAGTGTGACCAGCAGCAGAAACCGTTGTTGGATAGAAAACTCTGCTGCTGCTAGCGTTCAAGTCGAACAGACCTTGTGGATTTACATCACAGCCAGGGTAAGCTTCGCTGAGAGGTGTTCCTACCGCATATGGTGGTATAGTTATTCTCTCGTTGCATCCCGGACTTGCTAATGTAAGGTTCCGGTTGATGAGGAAGGCGTCTGTAGGAAGCTGAAAAGGGTCAGCTGAAACATCGCACTAAATATATGATGTCTTGAAACAGGGCGGCTTGAGAGCTGCAGAAGCATCTCCACTTGAGCGAATAAGAATCAAGCTGGACAACAAACATTGAGCGTGACTTACCTGAGCAGGAGACACTCAAGGTGCCATTTACCATAGTCGTCGCCCCGTTGAGCATACTGATTCCACTGTTCCGCACGAGTGTTGTCACTTGAAGAAGCTTGCCAACAGTGACAGGCCCATTTGCGGCAACGAACTGAAAGTAGCCAACGCTTTGTCTCACATGACAATTCTCATTACATGCGCAACAGCACTTGTAGATTCACATGTACGTCAACCTCACACCAGCAAACCACTGAAATGAACCTTGGCAAATCAGTGTCCATCTTGCATATCCTTTAGAACTCCAACAAGATGTCGAAAGCACTCACACAAGCAAGCACCAACTGAAAAGAAAACGCGAATGCGAAGGCGAGCAGCCTTATCAACTCTTATGTAGACGCTTAGGAGCAGCTAGATATCTTGAGACAGTCGTGAGAAACAAGCGTCAGCTAACATGAGATGGACCCATGTCTACTGCCTCTAGCTAGTGCACAACCTAGTGACGGGCATGAACTCTGAAGCAACGCATGTACTCAAATTCTTCGGAAATGGCTTACACTCATAAATATGATAGCGCCGGGTCCTGCAATGGTATCCATAGATTCACTGAGCAATCTTCTGAAGGGAGTCGGAATAGGGGGGTTCGATGGTGGGGGGCTCAAAGGGCAAAGGTGGGGGGTTGCTGGAGGGAAAGAGGTTAGGCTGCACGACACGAGCAAACCAGCTTTAGCCGTGGTACTAGATTACCAGGAAAAACAGGGACTAGGAACTGGAACATGCAGCAAGGACAAAGCAAACAATTGAAGCCCAACCATTTCACAATGAGGAGAGTATGTATACGCTCTTACATCATCAACAAAAAGTTGCCTTTGTCAGCGGGCGGATGCGGGAAGCAAGGCCCATGAAGACAAGGGATAAGACATGGACCCCTCACTGGTTGTAGGATTTGTGCGAACGTTATTCCTTTTTGCAGAGTGCTTGATGAGGTGCCATTGACTTCGTTCAGAGCATTCAGGATCGAGGAGTTGGCAACACTCCCGCGTGAGGGCCCAAAAGTAGCAAGGCACAGGATGGGCTGTTGATATTGGATGCGTCCAAACATAGGAAGTGCAGTGGACACGTTGGGAACAAGAATCACATTCTGCACAAGGAAAAACCAACACTAATTTCAGATTCAACGGGGGCCTGGTTTATAGAGAGCCCGGTGGAAGTTGCAACTCTGCTGTTGAGCAATGACGACAATGCTAACAAAAGGGCCGTCAGACAAGTATGTAATTGAAAGAGTCATGAAGCATGTACCAAATCTTTGGGCCAATCTCTTCTGGCTGTTAAGCAACAGATGCAAATGCCTGCTCTCAACAAGTTTCTGGATAGTTGGATAGTTAGATATCTCACTGTCCATATGGCTGTGTGCCCATCGGCCGTGACTGATGAAGGATATCGCACCGGCCCGGTGCTTGTGTTGAGGTTAAAGACCCCCTGAGGATTCACATCGCAGCCTGGATATGTTCCATTCAAGCCAACTGGATACGGTGGGCTCATGGGCTGCTTGGTACAGCCCGGGCTGGCCAACGTGCTGTTTATGTTGATTATGTAAGCGTCTGCACAGGCGCAGAGACGTTGCATTTGTTAATTGCTTCAAGTCGGCAAAGGCGTCGGCAAAATATGATCAACGGCGTACGAAGGTTGCCGCACATACAGCAATATAGCCCACAAGCTCAAACAACCAGGGTGGCAGACCTGTCAACAATCTTAATAACATTGGAAGAACTGAAAAAGAAAAAGAAAAGCACTGGCTATGGTGCACTTTGCTTCTTTCCCTAGATTTGAAAACTTGAAGGGCAAAAGTGTCTACAAAGTTTCTTGAGCAGTAAAGCAATCTGGCAAGCAGCCATGATCTTTGCTCGAGGAAGAACGATCAGGCCGGAATTTTGAGAGGTACAAACCAGAGCAGGTAACAGTCAGTGTTCCATTGTAGGTCACAGCAGCCACAGAGCTAGCGTAACTTCCTGGGCCAGTATTCCGGAGAAGGGTCGTAAGTTGCAGAAGGTCTCCAACCGCCACAGGTCCATTGGCTGAGAGGAACTGCAGTGGAAAGCTTCGAGAGGTCAGCACACATGCTTCCAAATCCTGACCTGACATCTGGTTCGACAACCCTAGTCGAGTCTTGCTGCCACTTCCCTTCCACTCTGCATAGACAGAGTTGCAGCTGAGGGTTTAGATTCCTCAAATTGTAAGTCCAATGACTCTGGGCTTTCATTGCAAGATGCCAATTTATTACTGCATCCCCGAATCCCAGCATTGAATGTAGATGCAGTTCTCATTAAGCAAGGAGTCAGATAAATTATGGCGTCTTCTCATCCAAAAACATCCCACTTGCCAGTGATCGACGAAGAGGACTGGTAGAGAAGATGGTGACTAGCTGGATTCAAGCAACGTAGGTCAGGGTGTCGTTTGAATGCTCTACCGCCAGAGTTTGAATGCTCTACGGCCAGAGATTTCCAGTCGCGAATTGATGATATATACCTCTCAATGCCTCTGAAGAGCAGTCCTTACATTTGAGGACGAAAGGCTGAAACTGCAACTATGTACCAACACACCCTGTAGAAAGCTTATCAGTCAGAAATTTGAAGAAAAATAGCAAAAGGTGATGAGAAAGGCTTACGTTTATGCTTATAGTGGTCCCATTGTCTGCACGCACCGGGCCCCCTTGCAGCAGGTAGACGACCACTCCGAATAAAACGGCCTGCACTTTAACCAGAGAGCCTGCTGGCCGCCAAAGGAGAGCCATTCTACGTTTCTGTACGTGCCTACATCACCTTGCATGGTCCTATTGGCCTTTGAGCACTCCCTTGTTACCGTGACGTCACGCGGTCGCGAGAGCGCGGGCGCCGAAGCGGCTTAGGCCGCGCCTCAAATGAATGATGCCATGACTAACTAGCTGTCACGCGAGCGCGCGCGTTCGGTCACGGCGGACCTGCACGTCGGAGGTCATACCTGGTTCAGAATCACAGTGCACACACACAAGAACTTGAAGTTGCACTGGCAGACGTAGACCTGTCCTACGGTGTCCTAG